TCTGATGTTCGGGGCCCCAGAACCGGACGCAGTGCTCCAGGTGGGGTCTCACGAGAGCAGAGCAGAGGGCAGAATCACCTCCCTGCCCTGCTGCTCACACTTCTCTCCATGCAGCCCAGGATACCATTGGCCTTCTGGGCTGCCGGCGCACATTGCCAGCTGGCGTTGAGGCTTCCATCCTTCTCCTCGGGGCTGCTCTCAAGCCATTCTCTGCCCGACCTCTGTCTGTGCTTGGGATTGCACCTGGCTTTGGGAAGGCACTTGGCCTTCTTGATCTCCACGAGGTTGGCCTGGGCCCGCCTCTCCATCCTGCCCAGGTCCTGCGCATGGCATCCCTTCCTTCTGGCGTGTTGACTGCGCTGCTCGGCTTGGTGCCATCTGCAAAGTGCTCAGGATGCACTCGATCCCGCTGCCTGTGTCACCCACAAAGATGTTCGCTAACCCTGCTCCCAGCGCCCAGCCCTGAGGAGCAGCACTCAGCGCTGCTCTGCACCTGGACACTGAGCTGCTGCCCACGGTGCCACCATCCAGACAGCGTTGAGTGTTCCACCCATCGAAAGTCTTTTCCAACCTTGGGGATTCTGTGAGCACAAAAGTGAGCAGCGACAGCGAATCAACGTAGAAAAGGATTAGGGGATTCTGTACGGTATATGCAAAGATACAGGGCCACAGAGGGACGGCATCGCGCTGGGAGCAGCAACCGCCGCTCTGAGGGGAGCCTCAACCTACACCCAACCTCCTTCAGCAAGAGCATTCGCGCCCACTGAACAGATCCGGCGAGATCCCTACTTATTTACTTGTCTCATGAATATGCAATGAGGTGGGAGGTGCCACCACGAGGGCGGGTCCCATACGGGGCGGTGCTGCCTCATGACTATACATCGCCTAGTGCATAATGCATGAGGGGCGTGGCCTCGCCTCAGCGCTCTGTCCCTTCAAAGTGCGGGAAGATGGCGGCGGCGGCGGCGGGCCTCGGGAGCCGGGCGGCGGGCTGTGCGCGGCGGGGCGGGCGGCGGAGGCGGCGAGGGCGGGCCGGGGCGGAAGAGCAGGAGGAGGAGGCGGAGGCGGAGTGCTCGGCGTGCCGCCAGGCTCTGGGGGAGGCGGTGACGCCGCCCTGCCGCCACTCGCTGTGCCTCGCCTGCTTCCAACGCTGCCTGCAGGGCCCGGCCCTGCGCTGCCCGCTTTGCCGCAGCCGTTTTGCCAACCGGGCCCGCACCGACGCGACGGCCGCCGGAGGAGGAGGAGGAGGAGGAGGCGCGGAGCAGCGGCCGCCGGACCCAGGTGCGGCGGCGGCGGCGGCGGCTCCTGCCCCTCCCCTCTCCTCTCCTCCCCTCCCCCCTCCTCGGCCCCAACCGCCGCGGCGGCAGCGGGGGGGAGCAGGGGGTGCGGGGAGGCGCTGGGCGGGGCCAGAAGGGGGGCGTGGCCATATTGCATGATGGGCGGGGCTTGTGTGAGCGGGGGGGGGGCGCTCTGGGTGGGGGCGGTGCGCGGAGGCTCGGCTGGGCGGTGGGAGGTGCGATGAGTTGTAGGGGCTCAGCTTTGCGCTGTGTGGAGGGGCTGTGGTCAACCGCCTGCAGGCAGAGGGTGTGGGGAAGGGGTAATCCTCTTGATATCTGGAGTTAGCTCTGTTCACGGTAAGAGGGGTAAGAGCTTTCAGACTGCTGTCCTCTTCCCTGGGGAAGCACTAGTGATGAAGGAGCCTGTCCGCTTCCCTGGGGCAGTGTAGGAGACTGTAGGATCTGTCACCTTGTTTGGAAAGAACATGGTGACAGTGGGACCCATCCCCTCGCCCAGGATGGCACCAGAGGTGGGAGAACCCATCCGCTTCCCCAAGGCAGCGCTGGTGGCAGAAGGACCCGTCCCCTTCCCTGGGAAGGTGCCAGTGACAAGAGTACCCTTCCCATTCCTCGCAAAGACATTGGAGACAGGAGGACCCGTCCTCTTCCCCAAGACAACAGCAGAGACAGGAGGACCCGTTTCCTTCTCCAGAAAGGCACTGGTGATGGGAGAACACCCCATCCCCTTCTCCAGGGCAGTGCCAGTGACAGGAGGACCCATTCCTTTCCCTCACTGTTGGCACCGGGAGGAACTGGGCAGTCCCGAGTGGGGACAGTGTCACATGGCCAAGGTGGCACCAGTTTGGATCATCCAGTGGCCAGCAGCCAGTTATTTTGTAATAGCATTGCCCAAATAGTTAATGGTTACAGAGGAAACCTGCAGGGGTTGTAAACACCGGATGAGTTCCTGCTGCATCGCAAGAGGAAAGCTCTTGTGTTGAGGGACGTCCCAGTCTTTGTTGACAGAAAGTCCATCATTTCCGAGGGTATTTTTTTATTAAGGCATTTCCTCCCTGTATGGAGAGCAGGCTGTCTGCACTGACAGCGCAGTGTGACGCTCCGGGGGACGATGCAGCAGTGTTGGCACAGATCATCTGCATCACCACGAGCGCTTCTCCACCGCTGGAAGCTCTGCGTTGAGCTCCAGATGGACACCACAAAACCAGCTGAGCTCTGCCCCAGCCACTCCTCACCTCTGGGCTCCCGCCTCATGCATGTGTCAGCACCCTCTCATTCGCCGCGGGAGAAATTGGCAGGATGAGCATAAACGGCTTAAATTGGTGGTTTGAACTCACCCCACTAACCTCCACTGGAAGCGAATTCGGAAGGATTTGCTGGATGTGATGAATAGAAGGGCTGTCTGGCAGTGAGCTGCGCCAAGCAGCTGGAGGACGGACCGCCGCCGAGCCACGCTCCTCCCCAAAACCTCCCACCAAGACGGTGCTTGCCCTGGCCTGGCCTGCATGGGAATATCCAGCCACGCTGCAGGAACACTTACATTTAAAAACAAATTAATTTCAAGTCTCTGCTTGTCTCGCATTACCCGAGATGCGTGTGTTTTGCAGCAGTCACGTTGGTGGTCATTTTCTTTCTGAACTTCCTAAAGCTCTGAAAATATACTGGAGGGAACGGCAGGGGATCTTAGCATGGAGAAACGTGGAGAGTGCATCCGAACAGGGATGTGCCTGTGGTGTTACCCAAGTGCTGGACAAACTGCTGTGCTCTGCGTGGAATTGCCGACGTATGGTTGTGCTGAAGGCTGTGGGGTGTTTCAATTAACGGTTAATGAGGTGAGCTAAAATGAGCTCTCGTCTGGAATGGTGTGCCTGGTAAGATCAGGCCTGTCCTGAAGCAGCACCAGGTGGCTGCATCAGACTGAAAACTGTAAAGCTAATTGACTGCTTGTTCTGTGAGTCATGCTAATAGTGCAGAAATTGAAGATTACAAATGGTAGCCTACTAGAAGCAGAGAGAGCAGGGGATGCACTTTATTTCGACTGCAGCCAGGTTTATCGTGGTCATAGACTAGCTGGGGTTGGCAGCCGCCCCTGGGGCCTTCTGCTCAAGTAGAACCACCAGAAGAAGGCTGCCAGGACCATGTCCAGGTGGGTTTTGACCCTCTCCAAGGATGGAGACTTTGCAGCCTTTCCGGGTGACTTGTGCCAACGCTTGACCACTCTGATTGATTCAGTGGAACTTGTCTTGTTCCAGTTTGTGCTCGTTACATCTTGGTTCTGCCCCGGAAAACAGTGTGCATGGCACAGCTACCAGGGCAGCGGGCACAGCCCTGAGCTGCCAGAGCTCAGGGAGCACTGGGACACCTCTCAGCCATAGGGTTGGGGTTTGGGGATGCTGTGTATGGCCAGGGCTTGGGGTCAGTGATCCCTGTGGGTCCCTTCCAACCTGGGTTGTTTTATATTTCTCTGCTCTTCACGGCCCTTCATGGTCGAGGCAAGCAACATCCTTTTTTGCCCCCATCCACCAAGGTGGTCACCTCGTCACAGAAGGCTACCACATCAATTAAACCTGCCTTCTTTGTAAACCCCTGCTGACTGCTCCCAGTCACTTTTTTGTCCATCATGTGCCTGGAAATGCTTTCCAGGATCATTTGCTCCACCACCTTTCTGATATCACAAGGCTGACCAGCTGGTCATTCCATCTCATTGTCGAGACGGAATGTCAGAGTAGTGACATTGGCTTTCTTCAGAGCTCCAAGGTTCTCTCCTGGTCACCATGGCCTTTCAAAGACAATTGAGAGCGGCCTTACAAAGACATTGACCAAGTCTCAGCACACAAGTGCTACCCATCAGGTCCCATGGTCTTACGTGCCTCCAGTCTGTTAAATTCCCTAAAATGATCACTGCTCCAGCATGGGTGAGTCTTATTTGCTCCAGGCTTTCCCAGGACCTGGGGCTGCTGGGGCTGTTCCATGTAGATTGAGGCAAGGAGGCATTGAGCATCTCAGCATTTTTCCACGTCCTTTGGCATCAGCACCATGCCCACCAAGCAGCAGAATGATGTTTTCTTTAGTCTGCCTTTTGCTGCGATGTGCTTGTAGGAGCCTTTCTGGTTGCATGTCGTGTCACTTTGCCTTTTGCTGTTTCAATTGTTGGTTCTGGTGAAGGCTCAGGAGGACCTCCAGTTGTGCACAGATACCTGAGAGTAGGCAGTAAGGGCAGTGCAGCCAGGTTCTTCTCTATGGTACCTGGTGGTAGGCATGAATTAAACCACAAGAAGTTCTATTCCACATAAGAATACACTGTTTTGTTTTTTTTACTGTCCTGTAACCAAGCACTGGCACAGGGACCAGAGTGGGGCTGCAGTCTTCTCTTTGGTGATCTCCAAAAGGCACCTGGATGTGGTGCTGGGCATCCTGCTCTGGGTGGCAGAGGGACCAGAGGTGCCCCCAGCTTCACCATTCCGTTATCAAACATGCAAGAAGCTGATATGCTGAACTGTATCACTTGAAATCCACAGAATTTGGGAAACTACTTTTTAATATCTTTTTTTAAGTATTACAACCCTATGAAAGATGCTACCTCTTGACATAGCTGGATTATTCCAGCTTGCACTGACTGACTGCTTCTGATTTCCAGTCTTGTTTTGTATCCTTCACTGGCATTCCTGCGTAACAGTGGACTTGTGGAGGCTGCAGCTGGGATCAGGGCTTGTGTGCTGTACAAACAGGTATGAAGACAAAGTCCTTGTGACACTTGCCCAACAGAAGTGGCTGGAGTGGGGTGGTGAAGTGGTGAGCGGGGCGAAGGTGATCTGTCTGCCCTTAGAGCCCCTGTGCCATCTGGTGGCCTCCAGCTGCCCAACCAGAAGGATCTGGCTTGGCCTGTGGGTCCTGTGGCCCATCTCCCTGCTGCATGGGCATCTCTGGTGATGAGTTGCGTCTGGAAACGCACCCGTGGCTGCTGCTGTAAGAGCAGATATTGAGCTGAAGATGCAGTGATACAGGGTAATGCTTTAATGCTTAAAGGTACTTGGCTGAGTGAGATTTCTTGTAGCCAAACAGTTGTCTGTTGAAAGCCTTGGAAACAGATAGGTGCAGCAGATGGGAGGCTGGGAGCAGGGCAGGACGTGGAGACAGTGGGTGCTGGAAGATTCAGCCAGACGAGATGAACAGACACACATGGACCATGCTCCTGGTGAGCTGCTTAGGCCAGACTGCAAGAAAATAAGGATGCTCAGTGTTCTCCAAGGACAGCAGTCTACCTGGCGTCAGACAGAAAGAATCTTGTGGAAGGAAAAGCAGATGAGAACTCAGCTTTGTCATCTCAGGCAGCGTAAGACCAGCTTCACCCACGTGTGTCAATTTCTGCCTCTCACTCCTGATGTTACCATCAGACATTGTAGATATCCTGCAGGAACTTGGAGAACCGAAGGAGAAGTGAGCAGAGGAGCAGAAATTCAATTTTTGAGGAGAGAGCTTGATTAGGAGTGGTAATAAGGTGGTCAAGGGGCAGAGAAGACTTGTGCAAGAGAGCAGCAGGTGTTTCTGGAAGGGTTGTGGGAAGCCTGCTGCTTCCTACCAAGGTGGGATGGATGTGCCTCAGTCACTCCTCATGGACACGTGAGTCATCCGTCAGTGAAGACACCTCCATTAGGGGTTCCATGGCCACCTTTGTTTAAGGATCTGAACGCGTGGAAAACTTGGCCTGCTATCTAATCCAAATCTCCTTTGTTGTAAAATCAGTTGGTTGCTTTCGTTCCTCTCCTGCCCAGTAGCTCTGCAAAGCAATTAATAACTGATCCCTTTATGAGAGGGTGTTTTTAATTGCCAGGCCTGGAGCATGACTTCCTCATCCTTCCTCTGAGTGTTTTGGCCGCAGTTTCCCTTTCAGCCTGCCGGCCTACACCAGTCTTGAGCATTTCCTGGTGGTTCCTTCATTTCCTGCCTTTTCTGCAGCCTGTCTCCAGCTTGATTTTTTCCCCAAGAGCACAGTGCAGTCACGATAAAGTCTTTCCACACCGTGTGAACAGCAGTGACGTGATCCCACATTCACTCAATGCAGCACATTGCTTTCTTCCAGCATGGGTGATGCATGGCAGCTTGATGGCATGTGTTTAATTTAAGGCTGTCCAACAAAGGTCGTGTGAACAGGTTGCCCAAGGTGGCTGTGGATGCCCCATCCCTGCAGGCATTCAAGGCCAGGCTGGATGTGGCTCTGGGCAGCCTGGGCTGCTGGTTGGCGACCTGCACACAGCAGGGCTTGGAGCTGGATGAGCACTGTGCTCCTTTGCAGTAATGGTTATACCCAGACTAGCTTGGTGTGGGGTTTTGTGTGATTCTGAGTGGAAAAGGCAAAGCCTTTTTGTTACTCATATGCTGGGATCAAGATTATCCTATTCCAGCTATCACAGGAACTGGAAACCAAGCTGGGAAAAGCCACTCGAGGAAACCTCGTGTGATGGGCCTGCCTCCCAGCCTGTTCTTCTTTATCCACAGAGGTGTGAAGCCTGTATTGAAGTTCTTTGCACCATGCTGGATTCCTGAACTCTCGTTTTGTTTTGTTTCTTTGTGCACTTCTGTGCAGAGTGAGATGTGGACAGCGATAGCGTAGTGCGTGTATGAAGGCTGCTCTGAAGTACACACATCCCCCCTAATGCTGCCAGACCCTTAATTTTCTCAATAAAGAAGAAGGGTGGATGTCTCCATGTCTACTGCAGGTGCAAAAGTACCACTCACCCCTGGGAGATGTACTCCTGTCATTCCTTGTTTACCCCTTGCCCCCTAATTATCTCACCAGTGATGAGGTGAGATTGAATTAACGCAAGTTATTCATATACAGTGGATGGGGACAGGAACGAGGGGGAAATCTTCCCTGAATATTCCTTTCTGTGTCCTCATAAGGCTGTTTATGATCTATATGAAGCATTCCACTGGCATATCTTTACATAATTACTTAATAAACCACTTTGAGTGAGTTAATTACTCCCATCAGAAACCTGTTTCCAAGCCTCTCTGCATTCACGGCCAGAAAACTTGCTCTGTGTTTCAAAAGCATCAAGATCTCATTCCACAAAGCAGAATACTGACTGCTGGAAGTGGGAACAAAAAGCTGTGAAAATCTCAAGATTTTGATTGTTTCTGCTAGGAGCAAAGGGGAAAAGAGGAGATGGCAGCATCTATCCAAGCAGCAGAGCCCATGGAGTCACAGAACTGTAGAAGCAGATGAGTTGGAAGGGACATCTAAAGGTCGCCTAGACTGGAGCTTTGGCTGCAGGACAAGGAACCAAAGGCTTTCTGCACTGAGGTGGCTATTTTAGCATCTTTATATTCCATCTGCATGGAATTTTCTCCAAGTGCCACTCAGGAGTGCAGATGAACAGTGCCTGGCTGCAGGGCCAACTTTGGAGAGCTAAAATGGGGAAGATTAGAAAATAGCAAGTGTGTTGTCCTCTCATAGAACCCGTCGTATTTTTGTGATTGAGCAGAAAACAGGATGGAAGCCCTGGCTGCAAGCATTGAGGAACAGATGCTGATGCTGACTTGTGGTTTTGGTGTGAATATCACCCTCAAAGCAAAGCCCACATCCCAGTGCCAGCCTTTCCCTGCAGCCCTTCACTCAGAGACCATCCCTGCTCCTCTGCAGCTCCCTCAGGAGAAGAACCAGGCAGGAATTCTGTAGCAAAACCAACCAAGAGGCATTTGCTCGAGTTCTCACACATTGCCATCGTTCTGCTTGGCAGCAATAGGGCATCATCGAGCCAGCACCTCCAGCTGGGATTAATGGTGGCACCCAAAACTAGGATGTGATGAAGCAGAGGTGTAGAGCACACCATGAGTGTTTGTGGGGACAAGGAGGGTGTAGGATTGAAGGCCCAGGGGAGCAGAGACGCATTCAACGTGCCCTACTGATAATGGTTCTTTTTGCATTTCTATAAGCAAAAGTTAGGAATTTGGGCTCTCTGTCTTTTTTTTTTATGTCTCTATGAGAGATACCAGTTACTGCATAGTGATGCTGGACCTGGAATTGCCCCCCACCTGGGTGCATTAGCTAAACCAGCAGAACTTTGTAAGTGTCTCATCATTGAGGATCTCTTCTGGCTTGCTGAACTGAAGCAAGTGATGGGACTGTCGCTACGGCTCGCTCGTCTCCCCGGGTTAACCCACACGCTTTCATGACCCTGGAGGGAGGAAACACCTTTTTAGCTGGGAGGATAAGATCTGATGCCAACCTAAAGCACCCAGCAGGAGCTGGTGGTTGCTGCAGGCACACTGCAGATGGAAATTCAACCTGATGACATGCACAGGGCGCTCAAGGATGCGATCAGTGTGGGCACAGAGCCATCATTGACATGGTGGCACCAGCATGGCACTTTCCTTTATGGCGTGAGCTCTTGCAAGAGGGAATGGAAGCTTTTTCAAAGTCTGTACTTTGAAAGTACTTTCAAAGTCTCTACAAACAAGAGGTTTGTTCCCTTTCGAAGCAAGCAAACCATGCAGCAGTTCCATGTGGTTTGGTACACGTGGGCACTGGCTGTGTTCCCACTCCATCGCTTCATCACTGGGAGTTCAGCTATGGGGGTTTTGTTGGTGAATTTAAAAGCCAAGAAGATGCATTCAGCCATCAGCTTGGGGCTGTATCAAGGTCCTGGGCTGTGTCTGCAGGCTCAAGCTGACAGGCAAACACACGCCAAGGTATTTGGTGGCAAAACAGGCAAATTGCAGCAAAGTAGAAGTGCCAGCCGTGTGCTCGCTTCCACATTGGAAATCATCTCTTAGGGCCAACTTAGTGGTGGTGTTTTGGGACAGAAAACACTCCCTAAACCAGCAATGTGGGTGTAGTTGTGCTGGGGAAAGCCAACACAGCTGCACTGCGTGCTGCCCGCATTACCAGCACCGTTTGCAAAAACCTTTTACAGGCAGTGGGGCACAGGAGGAGCAAAGATGGGTGGCCCAACAGCCTGCCTTAAATGTGCTTCCTTTCTCCCTTCTTTTTTCAGATTTTATATTCAGAGCACCCATCAAATTAAGCAAACCGGGGGAACTTCGAGAAGAATATGAAAGCCAGCTAAGGAAGGTAGAGTACTCAGTGTAACTGCAGCTTTTCTTCCAGAATCACATGGATTTCCAGCAGGAATGCCATCCTACCTGTAAGGAAGCTCGAAGGGCTTTTCATCCCTGCTCTGTAACAAAGGTCATTTATTCCCTTTTTGCTGCTCAGCCAGCTCAGGGAGGTGTTGGCAGCAGGCAGGCGTGCAGAAGCCAGCTCCTGCTGCCCTGGGCTGCCTTCCAGAGCCTGGAGATGGACAGTCCTTGGTGGACCTCGATTATAAAGGGTTTGTGAGAGCATCTGTATCCCTGGAGGCAATTCTGTAGAGAATTTTGCCTTTAGTACGTTTAAAAAAAGGGATTGTTTGAATCTAAGTCACTGAAATTCTCTGGCATGGGCTTCACAGAGCTGTGGGAGCCCCATTCTGGAGGTGCCAAAGGCCATGCATGGGGCCCTGGGCAGCCTGAGCTGGTGGGGTCAACCAGCCCACAGTAAGAGTGAGGCTGGAAGGGGCTTTAAGCTCCCCTTCCACCCCAGATATGCCATGATTCCATGATTCTGTGATTCTATGAAATGCCTCCAATGGCTTGTCATGGACAGAAATTTGAAGCAAGAAACACTATGGCAAAAGCAAGGACTGCTGTAGCTAAGCATCTAATCATTTCCAGTCCCAATTGCTTTAGTCCCATAACTGTGCTCCTGCTGTGTTCCTGGACTCCTGCACGGTACTGCTGGAGCAGCACCATGATGCGTTCTGCTTTGGGATGTTCCCCACTGTTGGGTTTCCTGCTGGGGAGAAGGAGCAGATTTGTCACTGATAACATTTTCTTTGGGCTTTTGTTTGAAGGTCTCGACAACATAGGAAGAGCTGGAATGTTTAGATGGAAAGATAGATGGAAAGATAACCTCGTACACTGACTAAGCAGGAAAGTACAGCTTAGGTGGTGTTTCAGGTAAACAGCTACTCAGGGAATGCCTGTATTAAAATCACAGATGAATTAGGTGGAATTTTAAAAAGGGGAAGGGTTTTCTCTCCTTCTTCTCCACGCAATTAGTAGTGCAGCCTCATTAGGATCGCTTTGATTGCAACCTTTGGTTAATTGATGGTAAGGAATGGAAACTTTTTTGGTCCAGCCTACTTGTGCTGGGTAGACTGTGCTGTGTTTGTCGGGTGCTGTGGCTCTTTTAGCAACACTGAGATGCTTTGTTGAAGAGTTGTTGGGTTAGGCAGCAGTGCAAGACTGAGCACTTAGAAACAAAAGTCTGGTTTATTAATTAACTTAAACGTGCATCACTGTGTTTGGCAATTGAATTTATTTTTGCTGGAACCTGGAGGATGGATCTGTTCTACTTAAAGAAAAAAGCAAGCTTTTCATGTAGGTATTAGCTGCAGACTTTGCCAGGGTATTATGAATATCCTGGTAACTGAGTGAGAGAATTCCCACCGTGATTTGGGAGCCAGCTCATCGTTTCTGCAGGTTTTCCTGGTTTCTGAGGCAGAACTGCTAATTTCTGCTTGTGGGGAAGTTCTTGGTGTGATCAGAGGAGGCTTTTGTGCCCCCAGCTGCACGTAGGCTTGCTGTGCTGAACTGAGACAGTGCTCTTCAGGTGCCTCCAGCCTGGTTGAGATCTGCAGGTAACGGCCCCAGGTTGCATCAGGGGAAATTCAGGTTGGAGACTGGGGAAAATTTCTTCTCCAAAAGAGCAGTAATGTGTTGGCACAAGGAGGTGCTGGTGTCAGCATCCCTGCAGGTGTTCAGATAAAGGGCAGATGTGGCACTGAGGGACTCGGTCAGTGAGCATGGTGGGGGTGGGCTGGGGTTGGACTTGGGGATCTCGGAGGTCTTCCCTATCCTTAATGGTTCTGTTATTCTATTCTATGATTTTATTCTATGATTCCTGCAGGGATTAAACCGTCTTCTCTCCCTTGTAACTCCTGTACAGCATCTCTGCAGGACAGCCTTCCTGGCTTGTGGGTGCTTTGTCACCATTTCCCTATTCTGATCACACAATGACTAACTTCACGTGCAACAAACCAAGTTCAGATAAGCAGTCTGAGTCACAGTCAGCTGGTGGCAGGCTGCAGAAGTCTCTGCATCTGCTGCTTGACTTCAGCAAGGAGATGCCACACAAACGTGCACCAGCACCTCTCACTTCCCCATCTGTGTAAAGGAGATGCTTGAAGGTTCCTCTGGTGTTTTGAGGATGTTTGGCTGTTGGCTTCCCCTTTTTGCTCACAGAGAGATGGGAGAGGGGTTTCTGTTCCATCATCACGGCAGAAATTCCAGCTTTTCCCTTAATCTTAACTCTTGGCTCTTTTGACTCTTGGAAGAAAGAGTCGCGTGGTGCCCGTGATTTTCAGGGGAAACTTCAGAATGCAGAGGGCTCAGATTTGGGGACCAAAGCTGGTGTGTAACTGGGTTTTCCTCTGTCTGGAGGCGCGTGGTGTCACGTGGTGGTGACATGAGGACAACCTTTGTTGTCTTCAGCTTTCCAGCAGCTTTTGCATCCCCTGTTAAATGTTTTCCAAAGCTCTGGACCTCCTTCCCTCCTCATGCAGTTAAAACCAAAGTAGTGGCCATCATTCTGCAGGGAGAAACTTAGTGGAAGTGGATCATCTTGTGGTGTGATTTTCTCAGCACTGGGGGATCTGGCTTTCAGAGTCAAGCACTTGCTTCCTACCTGCAGGACAAGAATTGTTTTCCTTTTATGCCATGTTTTTTTACCCCCTTTTTGTGAAATGACTGCCTCCCAGTGATGCATGTGGCACCTTGTGCTTGCACCTTCAACTTGCTGTCCCATAGGTTTGCCTACAGTTCTTAGATATTCCTTCCTACATGATGTTGTGTAAGCTTGTGGCTTTATGCTTGGGAGTTGGGTATGATTTTGTATGTTGGAGAAAAAGCCAAGATTCCCATCTAGCTCCTTCCATTCATATGGAAGGGATGGAAGTGTTGGGTGGCATTTCAGTCATCTTTATGACGAGCCTCAGTGTGACCTTTTGCTTCAGATACTTCCAGAGGGGCCTCTCAAAGCACAAAAACACTGCAGAAACCTCACAAAATGTGCAGCAGAGTCCTGTACTACCCATGGCTCAGTCACATGGCAGTAATCTCTCTCAGTCAGATGATGTTCTCGCTTCAGATTATTAATAGATCAGGATTTCAAAGATGTGTCTTCAAGCATCGCTAAACCAGAAGCAAAATCTGTCTTTGGAACCATTTGCTACACACCCACCATCACCCGGATGAGGCTTTTTGCTGCTTTGTGCCTTCTCCTCCTCCTCCTCCTCCCTCGCTCATCCCTGTAGGTTCAGATTCAGTAGAATTTGGATCCTTCCTCATCTCAAAATCACAATTTGCTTTTTGTGCAGTGCGCTGCAAACCCGGTTTTCTTTCTTCAGCTTCTGAGATGGGGTCACTCACATGGCCATGCTTATTTTGTTAACCTTGAGAAAGGGAAGAAAAAGAGAGCATATATTTTTTGAAAAGCCCGTTGTTGTTGCAGTGTCACCGACTCTTTTCTCTTACTGGGCTGCAGTGCAACTGCACGAACCCCAGGAAAGCTTTGTGCCTTTATTTCCATCGGCACTGGGAGGCAGAAGGATGCTGCTGTCTTAGCAGGAAGGTGGGAAACCACAAGGAGATCCCACACTGAGCTGTGGGGCAGAAACGGAACTGTAATTCCAGAGCAGGAGGTTGGAACTGGATGATCTTTAAGGTCCCATCCAATCCAGCCATTCTGTGGATCCTTGTGCTGAGCACAACTGTGAAACAGCAGCGCAGACCTGCTGCTGACAACCAGAGGCCAGAGTCGTCGAGGAGGCCCACCTATAGAGGTGGGGTGGAAAGAGAAGTTCCATCCAGGCACCTAGGTGAGCTCTTCGTGGCGTTATGTACAAGTGTTGAGTTCAGGAAGAGATGAGAGGCTGAGAAACGAGAGAGGAGAGGTGTTGTGGTGTTACCCTGGGCAGCGGATGGATCCAAGCGCATGCTGCACACCTTGTTCAAAAGGAAGAGATAGGGGGGTTGGTTCAATCTGGAGAAGAGGCTCAGGGGAGACCTTATTCTCTCCACAGCTGCCTGAAAGGAGGTTGTAGTGAGGTGGGGTCTGCCTCTGCTCCAAGGAAACAGTGATGGGATGAGAGGCCGTGGGCCTCAAGTTGCACCAGAGGAGGGTCAGGTTGGATATTAGGGAGAATTTCTTCTCTGAAAGTGCATTGATGCTCTGGCACGGGCTGCCCAGGTAGGTGGGGGAGTCACCATTCCTGGAGGTGCTCCAAAACTGTGTGGATGTGGCACTGAAGGGCATGGTCAGTGGGCATGGTGGGGATGGGATGGGGTTGGATTTGGGGATCTTGGAAGTCTTCTCCAATCTGAATGATTCCGTGATTCTAAGAGGTGTGAAGGAGGAGAGGAGGGCTTTGTTGGCTCTGAACAGCGCATCTCGTCGCAGCCCATCCATCTGTGACCCCATGAGGGTAATCCTTTGCTTCAGGAGGGCTGAAGCCTCTGTGTAGGCACAGTCTGGCCATGAGGGGCTGATGGAAATGAAGGGTCCATCTGAGCTGGTTGTAAGCAGCCATTGAGCAGTGAGTTGTGCTTTTCCCAGGAGGGCAGCCCTAAGCTACCAGATGTCAGGGAGCACTGGGATGCTGCTCTCAGCCACATGGGTTGGATGGAGCTGGGAGTTCCTCCCACCTTGAGATACTCTGTGATTCTAAGCAGGGGGCAGTGAATGGAAGGAGCACAGTCCATGGGGTGCAGCAACACCACGGTTCAGTGCAGAGCTCATGGGAAACAAGGCAGGACATTGCTGGGGCGACCATGCAGTTCTGTAGGATTCCTTGTTCAGCCTTCACTCAGCCTTCGTTTGGGTTCATAAAGTGCTGTAGTACAGCACATGTGAGTAAAACAGTGTTGCTTCATAGTCTTTGTGAATTGCTGCCAGCCACGGTGCTAAAAGTGACGAGAAAATGTCTAAAAACAAGTGAGAATTCAAAATCAAGTTGCAACTTTGGGACTCCTGATGGCCATCGGAGGGTTGGATGGTCTCTCTGGGTCTCCTCCATCCCAACACGTCCATGAAACAGCAGAAGTTTACATGGCATGGGGATTGCCATAACTCACGAGTGTGAATTCAGGTGGTGCTGTCTGTCTACCTGACAAGTTGTGTGTGCAGTGTTGCAGTCCTTTTGAAGACAGAAATGTTGTAGCTTGCATGAAACTATTGTGTATATGCACTGTTCTGCCCTATTAACTTGTAGTGTGATAATCCACAAGTAGACAGAAGCTTTTTTCTCTAGTTTAGAAACCAGTTTGGCAGAGAACTCACTGTCAAACATTGCATCTAACAGTGCCTTTGCTGTTTTGCAGTGACATCCCTGCTTTGTGTAGATGTAGAAAGAAAACAGTCTTCCCATGATTGCTTATGAGGAAGGCAGAGCAGAGGAACGGAGACACAAAATTAAATGTTGTGGCCAAACTTTTTTGGAAAATCACTATTGACAACCAGGTGTGGAACTGAAGGCATTTCAATTATGCTGTCTCTGTTGTCGTTGTTTCCAGCTGAGAGAAGAAAAGGTACAAGAAGAAAAAGCTTCTGAGGACCTGATTCACAAGCTCATGCTAGATGACGTGGAAGTAGGAAAGCGAAAAATGGAAGAACAGCAGAAAAAAGACGACTCTCTCGTGCTCAAAGTGAACCAGGAGTGTGTAAGTAAGCTTCTACTTTCCAGTCCACATCACAGACACCAACCAGGTGAAATACTGCTGAGATTCAACCCTGGAGCAGGAGTTAGGTTTCTTCCTTTGACTCTACATGCTTTCCAGGACTGATTTCTCTATGGCCCTGAAGGATACGAGCTAACAGTTCACAAAGATTTCTACTAACAAGACCTGTGTTCTAAGAGGGTTTATCATGACCACAAATGTCTTTCTGGAGGTTTGTCTCCACTTCTTCCACCCAGTTTGCTCACAACTGAAGCTGCAGCTGCACTGAACGTGCAGAGGTGGCACACAGCCTTTCCTGGAGCATGTCTCCACAAGTCCCTTACAGTGTGGCCCTATTCCTCCTTCCAGCTGTGAGACTCCATAGGAAATGCTCTTAAGAATTACAGGTAGAGGATTATGTGGGCTCTGGCTCATGTCCCATAGGACCTTTTTGGGAGGATTTTCTCAAGTTTACTGCTCATCCAGTGCTTGATCTTTGAATTACCTTTCATAGAATCATAGAATCACCAAGGTTGGAAAAGACCTAAAAGATCACCCAGTCCAACCGTTCACCTATTGCCAATAGCTCCTACTAAACCACGTCCCTCAACACAACATCCAGCCTTTCCTTTCACAGCTGTACACAGGAGCTGTGTGCTTATTGCTGCATTATTATCTTTGGGGACTGGAGCTCTTACAGCTCCAGTGAAGAGAACTGCATGAGCGTGTGCATCTGCTGGGAGGTTGCATTCACAGTTTATATCCTGGAGGCCTCGTCGCATCAGGGGTTTGTGGAATATTAATACCTTTGCAAGAAAGACCTTTACTTTCCAAGTGATTCTTTTTGTTGTATATGTCAGCTAACTCTTCCTTGATTGACTTCAGTTTCCTGAACGTCTCTCGGATTCAGAAAATGAAGAACCATTCCAAGGCAAACAAACGCATCGGTCGGCATTCGTTTCCAAGACCAGTGCCTACTCCTTTGCTTTCCTTTCAGGGTAAGATGCTGAGATTCCATTGAAGCTGCTTAATGTGCAGATGTAACTGTCTTGCTCTTCTTGCTGTTGTTCCAAATGTACCTGAGATGCTTTGAATTAAATTAAAAGGGTTGTTGCAGTCCAAAAAAAAAAAGCAGTCGCTGTTCTGGAATTTAAGAGTTGGTAAATGTAGCATCTGTTGTGATTACCTCCTGCCTGCTGTAAAATCCTGGGGGTTCATGCATTTACTGTTCATCCCATGAAGCTGAAAAATCACTAACTGTAGATTTAAGTTACAAAACTCAGAAGTACAGAATTCTTTATGTTAGATTTGAGTGCTGGATCTATCTCCAGCACACACGCTAAGAGGCAGCATCTGCCCCAACCAGTTATCAGTGAGAGCTGCTGCATGAGGCACTGCAAGCAGCTGAGTAACGCGGTGTGACTTCACACCAGCAGCACATGGGCTTCTGTAGTGCTGTCATTAACTCTGATCTCAATTAGTTACGAGGGGTAGAGGTGTCAGGGTATTTAGCACAGAGCCCTTGAACATAGACTGATGCTCTAGGGAAGACTCAGGGCTGTGGTGCAGAGCTGTCATTCCACCTGCAGCTTCAGCTGGAGATTTCCATGGCCAAAACCCTGGGCAGCATCTGCTCAGTGCTGTGGCATCACCCTGAAGCGATGCAGGCAGCAGCCACAGCCCTGCAGGGCTCATGGTTTGATTCCAACTCTTACCAAGATTATTTAGAATCAGAAACTCATCAAGGTTGGAAAAGATTACTAAGATCATCTGGTCCAACCGTCAGCCCATCACTATCACCCATGACATTTCTGCATAATATACAACAGTTTGGTTGGAAGGGACCTACAGAGGTCATCTACCCCAACTGCTTTTGCTTGATGGCTTCATTCAGCAGACGGTGAGGTCTCAGCACAGAGGTGGGCAGCAGCCAGCTGTTCCCATCAAACACCCACCTGTGGGTTTGGGGCTCTGCTTGCAGAGCCGTGGTCCCTGCAGCTCCAGGTTTCAGGTGTCCTTTCTGCTGGGGATATTCAACGTGTTGCTCCCAAGATAAAGAGCAATCTCATGTAATTGCTTTACAGGAACCTAACCTCCAAGGTGGAAAGGAGTCGGAGCTGCAATGACACTATCCAGGAGAGATCAAAGAGCAGGCAGAGATCAGCCCCACTCAACAAAACAAAGGTACCACCTGTTCCCAACAGCGTGCGGCGAGAAAGGGTTTGATGTGTCACGTCCTTATCTGAGGTCATACAGTGCCAGCAATCTGCTTGTATCAGACACTGGTTCTGTGGTGGTTTTACTGCCCTGGACCAGTCATCTCCTTGCAGCTCATAATAAAAACCTGTCAGGTTCGAAATTACAGGGCAGGAGAGCAGACAGCTTACCGAGCTGTTTGTGTTGTGGCATAGCTGGAAATTGGAAGGGTTCTCTTCATTGCTTTGTTTTGTAATTCATTTTCTTTCCAAGGCTGAAGCCCCAGCTTCGGTTAAAGGAAGTTAAAGTTAAAAATCATAAAAGTTGAGAAGAAAATCCTCTCTTCTCCCACTTTCTCCCGTGTTGTTAATTCAGAGGTGCTTAAAAAGTTGTTCAGAGTTGTTCAGAGTTGCTTAAGTAGAGCAAAACTCATTGCTCCCCTGGTGCTAGCATACTTTCTTTGGTGCTTTCACTGAACTCTGCTGTGGGAAAAGTCGGCCTGGTCTTGCTTCCTTCAGACCCAGGGAATTAATGACAGCTGTTACACTGTGCACCAGGCCTTATGTCTCAGTGGGCAGGGACCATGGTCTGGAGTCTCTTGTTAAAAGCTTGGTCCAGTTCTGATCTAAACTGGACTGAGCTCCAAGTGAGGGTCTGTGTCTGAGCTGCCCTCCCTGGCCATTCATTTTTTCAAGCAGGTGATGTATGGGCCTGGCCCAATAAAAGCTGTGCTGCAAGGATGTCCCACAAACCTGTTTTGACTCCAAAACAAGCCAGCAGGAACCGATTACCTTTGACTATGTGCAGCTTTTATGTCAGATTTATGTACGGGTGGGTTCTGGCACATCCCAGATAGAACAGCATTAGGAGAGGACAAGAAATGCTGCTCTTCAGCTCTGCCAGAGATTGTCCCCGCACTGGCACTGTGTGGGGAATGCTCACGGAGGTTCCACTGATCTGCCTCTGGCACACAGACAACGTTTTATAGAGGAGTGTGTTAAACCCAGGCCAAGTATTCATTCTTGCTCCCCTGTGCCTTGCTAGGGAGCAAAGAGCCATTGGGTGACCATTACCTTTGAGGAGAGTAGCTTCCTGCAGCCAGGACACTGCTGGGGCTCCTCAACGTTGTTTCACCAACAGAGGGGTTGCCATTTGCCCTATCCCAGAGCATTTCTAACACTACAATAAATTTGAGACCCTGATATTAGATTGGATAGAAGGAAAAGTTATTTTGTTCTGGTAAGGGCGGTGAAGCACAGGTTGCTCAGAGAGGTGGTGGATGCCCCGTTCATGGAGACACCCAGGGTCAGGGGATGGACTCTGAGCACTGATGGAGCTGTGAGCGTCCCTGTGCATTGCAGGGAATAAGATCAGAGCCTTATGGGCCCCTTTTAACTCAAACCATTTTGTGCTTCTGTGATGGTGCTGTGTTGTGTTGGCAGTGTTGTATGTCCGGTGTTGGCGGTGCCATGTGCTGCAACCAGACTGCATAGAGGAGGAGCTGAGCTGCAGCCCCGTGCCACGTTTCTCCCCTTCTCCTTGCCCATATTTGCCCGTTCCCTTCTCCATAACAAGCTTGTTGAGCAGCCAAACCTTACTTTGTAGGTCCCACCCATCACCAGCGCATCAACACCTCTGCTGGGAGTTCTCTCCTCCACCCAGAACAACCGCTGCCTCTCTGCCCCAGACCTGACGGCGGAGAAGCGCCCACTCCTCAACCCCGCGTCGTCTCTCTCAGCCCTGCACAGACCAGAGCGATCCATCAGCCCCGAGAGCAATGACAGCATCTCAGAAGAGCTCAACCACTTCAAGCCCATCGTCTGCTCGCCGTGCACACCTCCCAAAAGGCTTCCTGACGGCCGTGTCCTCAGCCCCCTCATCATAAAATCCACTCCGAGGAACCTCAGCCGGAGCCTGCAGAAACCCACCACCTACGAGGCCAGCCCCAGAATACTGAAAAAATGGGAGCAGATCTTTCAGGAGCGCCAGATTAAAAAGACTCTCTCAAAAGCAACCCTTACGTCGTTGGCTTCGGAACCCGGGGAGGACGTTACACTTCCTGACATCGCCCATAAGGAACATTCCCAGATTCAGGATGATCAGCTGCTGGCAGATGCGACGGGAGACCCTCACCCTGAGCTGGATTTCCTTCCTTCTATCAGCGAGATGAAGAGAGGGAGCGAGAGGAACAGAGATTCCCAGGCCTTAACAACAGATAACAGCGCTGAAACAGAGATGCGATTGAACGCAGCCCCGTTGCACGCACGTGTGTCCGAAGCCCCTGACGTCAAAGCCAACGTGTTCACGGACAAATCCTGTCTTCATCTGGGCCCCAAAGTGCTGAGCAGAAGGGTCATGGGGGTGCCAGACAGCAGCACTCTGGGGGTCCTGTCGGGGAAGAAGCAGCTGAAATGCCTGAACAACAGCGAGCTGATCAACGTGCAGAACAACACCTGCAACTCCGTCGAGAACATCATCAGCGAACAGCCGCCAGCGTTACGACGGGGACGGAAGAGGCGCTGCAAAACAAAGCACTTGGAGCACAACGGCTCTGTCAAAAGACTGAGGCACGCAGCAGGGGAGCCGGGCTTGGAGGAGCGCCTGGTGCGGGAGGTGGAGCAGAAGCTGCAGCAGGAGGAGGAGGACAGGAGGTTGGCCCTGCACCTGCAGCGCATCTTCGACAGCGAGAACAGGACAGTGGATAGGCGGAAAGTCAGGGTGGATCGGTACCTGCTGCGGTCGAAGAGCACTCTGGGTGCCAAGTAGCACTGGTGGACGATATTGCCTTTCTAGAGGACGATGAGGTTTATCAAATTATCTTATAGGAAAGCTATTTTTTGTCATACTTCCACCCACGCTGTCGTTGTTCATTTTGGTGATAAGACATTCGAGGTCCAGTTCAGAGAGAAGCCAGAATCCTTCCAGATGTAACAAGAAAAAGGACAAGTTCCTCCAGCCTGGCTGGTCCATTGGTCTGAGAGAGGTCTGGCATCCTGTGAGTGCACTGCAGTGCAGCTGATGGTTGTCCTGGCTGGAAGGGTTGGTTGCACGGGCACCCTGGGTCCTGGGCACCCTGCTCCCTGCTGGGTGGGACTCAGAGGTCCCTGCCAGCCTCAGCTGTTCCATGGTGGACCTCATCCATTCATTGCCATGTCCATATTCCACAAGAAATCGGAGCTCTGCTTGCAGAGGAAACCAGGCTGGTCCCATCCTGGGATTTGCAGGAGGGATCAGGGGATCCACCTGCAGTGCTGACCAATGAATGTATCTCGCTGGCTGCACCAGCAGTGCAGATCAGAGGTTGTCTTCTATAAGTAGAAGGCCAAATGCAGTGGAAAAAAAAGTTGTAAAATCAGGTTTTTATAGAAAAGCATTATAGGAACTTGTACGTTCACGTTAATGATGGGGCAGAGAGCATTTGGGAGCCACCCTCCAGGCACTGCGACCCAAGGAACAATGCAGCTTTTCACCCAGAGTCTCACCTCCCTTCTAAATGTTGAAGCCCAGAAAAGGAAATGCTGCCCTGATGTTGGGAAGAAGGAGGCAGGCACTGTGGGCTCTGGGTGCAGTGCAGGGAGTGGGGCTGGCCTCTCCCAGCACGCAGTGAGTGCAGAATGGATGGAATGGGAGCCCAGTACTCCTGCCGTGGGGTGCAGGGGGTACAAGCCACCCTCCTCGCTGCTTAAACCACTAACAGCTCAGGTGAGCAATGCTGCACAAACCTCCTTTAAGGTATAAGGGCACGGGGCTGCCGGGGGCTGGGGGAGCTGTTGGGTTTGGTGGGGTAGAGTTGTGCCTTTGGTGACAGCCACACTCGGGGCTTTCCCACCTTTCCCCTCTCTTCCCCATCATCCAAAGTGATCCTTGGGTTCTTGTGAGGAACTGGGCTCAGGAAGAATCAGCTTCATCTACGGGTGCTGCTTTGCAGTGCGTTCGGAGGAACGCCGGTGCCGGGGAGACGAGTTTTGCAGGATGGACCTGAAGCATGGGACCAATCCCAGAGAATGGTCACTACCCAAATTCCTCCTATCTAAAAAAACGGCTGAATGTCTTCCTCTTTGAAAACAACAAGTAAAAAAAAAAGGAACTGATTTTATTTTTCTCTTCCACGTCCTTGTGTGACTGCAAGGACCCTGGCGCTGTTTCCTAACGGAACTGGATTTTTGTTTTTGTTTTTGTTTTTAAAAAAGAAAACTTATATTTTAATGGATAAAATTTATATATTTTAAATACTATATTTCGACAGATTGACACTTTTTGTTTGGAGAAAGCTTATAGCAGTGATTCCGTAATATATAGATCTATATCCAGATCTCCTTCACGCACCAACTGGATGCTCCCTGATCTCTGGGACCATCCCTGCTCCCTCGCAGCTCTTTGGACTCGAATCATGTATTGAATCAGAAGAAGGCTGAGCAATTGGAGCTCCAATTTGACCTAGAAGATTGATGTAGAGATCAACAGCAACAGCCTGAAATTGCCCTCTGCACTGGTTTCTATAGAATAAGCTCAGGATGGAAACTCACAGTGATTTTTTCTTCTCCCATGAGTTAAATTTGCCTGTTAATTTTGCATCTGGTCGCTGCCTCTTGCTCATGGTTAATCCTGGGACAGTTTCCTCCTTTCTCTTTTCTGGTTCTCAGCACTCTCAAAGCAAACGTGGACACCAAAACTCGCATTTCCGTGGGGTTTCCACACTGAATGTATCCTTTCTTTCCCCTCTTAAGAACGATTATGGAGCCCAATGCACCAGGCCAGTGTCTTCTTAAATATCTTTTTTTCTTTTTTAAGGACGAGTTACATAAATATTTATGTATTAAATATAAGGCTTCGGCAGCAGCTGGCTCCATTAAAACCCAGCCCCACCTGTGCTGGGATGGAAGGAGACCTCTAAATGTTGTCTGCAGCTTGCACAAAAAGGAGTGGTATATCATTTCATTGATAAGAGCAGAAATGCCCGGCCTCCCTTGCTGTAATGGGCAGTGGTGGCCACAAACAGTGCTGTCAGAGAAGCAGAATACCTGTTGCTGAGTGCTGGGTGCAGCACAGGATCTGCAGGGGCCCTGAGATGGAACCAACCGTTGGTTTGCACCTCCTGGAAAGCAGCTCCTGACCCTCATCCTTCCTGCAGTCACCTCCTCTTGGGGACTGGGGGAAGCCCACAGGCCAGCACTGGCTCCTGGTTGTTCCCCCCACCGTGGCCCACCATCCTGCACGTCCCTAGGAGTGTGGTGCCATCACCCGGCCACCAAATCTGCCAAAGATGCTGCCTGACTCTACAAAGCAGCTCGGACGCTTTGGAGCCTTCTGCATGGGATCAGATGTACAGAACGGTTCGTGCTCGGAGTCGGTGAGAAGAGAGGAACGAAGGAAAAGTGCCAAAAGAAAGGGTGATGCGAGATGACTGTATGATGTTGTGCTATATTGTCAGTATTTTTCTTCCAAATTCCAAATGCTATTGTACATGCAGTGCACAGTAGTCACAAAGTCTAGCTGGAACAAGTGCTTCTTTGTATCGTATCAACGAGAGCAAGGAGAGGTAGAAGCCTTAAAGACCATCGCCGACATGAAAGTGAAGCCTTCAGCGCTGCTCCGGGGGCAGCGGCCCCACAGGGCTCCCAGCTCCTCGCCATCTCCTGACCCTACAGAACCCATCCTCCAGCATCCCTCACAGGGATCCCACTGGAAACGATCCCCCAGGAAAACCGGGGCCCACCAAGGATTGTTTCTGTGTCACCACGATGGTCTGCGATGTCACCGTGACGACGGCAGGTATCACCATGACAGTCTGGGATGTGATCGTGACAGGGTGGGATGTCACGACAGAGCTGGGGGGCATCTCCTGGAGCAGTGCACCAGCTCAGCACTGGAACCATCTCCATGCACAGTGCAATTCTGACACAAACTTTTATCTTCCCTCTATCTTCAAAGCACGGCAACACGTCAGAACAGCCCTAGAACTACTCACTATGCAAACAGGAAAATCTCCAACCGATGACGAAAGGTTTCGTGTACGCCTGGTTTTCTTGGTGTTTACTGTCGAGCTGTTTGAAACCAATATCGATGTTGCTACACTTTTTCCAGTACGCTTTAAATCGTTGTGCTTTTAGTGTTCTCCTCCCCTGCCATCGGAGCGCCGGTGAGAGACTGCGGTCGTTTTGGATCTCAGCTGAACCACTGTGGCTTCATCTGAATGTTTTAAAAGCGATGGAAGTTGCTCAGAGACCGTTGACTTGCATGTGTAAATGTGTGGGTAAATGACATGCAGAGTCCGTCATGTTGTGGCTTCTGTCATTTGGAACAGAGTAAATCCTGCTTGTGAAAAATTGTCACAAAACAGAAACATGCCAACCGTGTACAAATCCTGTGTACCTTTTAACAGCATCGAGGACTTTAACCGCAGGACAAAGGCCCAGGTTAAAGCAGAATAAAACCAGGTTCTGACAGTGAGCTGCCTGGCTGTGCTGAAATTGCTGCTGGGGAAACCGTGGTGATTCCACTGCTGCCTGTTCTGGGTAAATTCCGGGTGCCTGTGACCGAGTGCAGTTGTTGATTAATATTTTGCAAATAATAACGATATAAAGGTGAGTATAATGATGTTCTTCATATGCCTGCATTAGGAATGGCCAGCAGAGCAGGGAGGGGAGCATCCCCTGCACTCAGCTCTGTGAGGCCGCACCTCGAGTGCTGGGTTCAGTTTTGGGCTCCTCACTGCAGGAAAGATGTTGAGGCCCTGCAGCGTGCAGAGAAGGGCAGCGAAATGGGGAGGGGTGTGGAGCACAGGGCTGCTGAGGAGCGGCTGAGGGAGCTGGGATTGGTGAGGGTGAGAAGAGGAGCTGAGGGGAGACCTGACTGCACTCTGCAACTGCATGGAGGGAGGCTGTGGTGTCAAAGGGCCTGGCCTCTTCTCCCAGGCAAATAGCAGGAGCCGAGGAAACGGCCAGAAGTTGTAGCAGAGGAGGTTTAGGTTGGACATAAGGCAGAAGAACTGTTTCTCTCAGTGCTCAGGCACTGCAATGGCTGCACAGGGAGGTGGTAGAGTTGCCATCACTGGCAGCGTTCAAGAGGCACCTGGATGAGGAGCTGCGAGATGATTTAGTGCTGGTGGCAACAGTGATGAGGAGATGGTTGGACCAGCTGATCTTACAGGTCGTTTCCAACCTTGTGATTCCATGATTCTATGATTCTATATAGGTGTGAGCAAGTGGTGGGGAGTGTTTTCCCTCCACTGCTCCCCTCGTTCCCCATCTCCTTGGATTACGCTGTCACAGCTGTTCTCAATAGGTGGGTTTGGTTATTAATGCCTGTTTTGTGCTCAGCTCAGCTCCCTGACAGCGTTCAGGTCCAGCAGGCAGAGCTGAGGTGAGGACAGGAACACCGTGACCTTGCTAAGAGCAGCTGGATGCAGACAGGGCTGTGCTGTCCCCCCACTGTGCACTGCTGCCAGAAGCACCCTGTGACACCCAGGGACTGTTTTGTGCAGGGAGAGAGAGCACAGACCTTGTTTACAGTAGTTGCAGAGCACGACAGTGAGCAAACACACCACTCTCATGTGCTACCACTGAAGCATTTCAGATGTTTTCGTGCTTTCAAGCTGGGAATTCATTGGCTGAAAACCTGAGGTGAACTTTTCACTGCACTTGGTTTTCCAACCTCAGGAGAGGAACAATGGCTCCAAACAAGTCACAAATAATAACATAGTTTTTATCTGGGAGGACAAAGGTGTGAAGTGCTTTATCCAACCCCTGCCCCTGCTTTGGATGTCACTTTGGGCACCTTCTTGGATGCTTTCTTCCCTGGCAGCAGCAGCTGTTTTGATCTCCTCTGCTTGGAAGCTGCAAGAAGTGCTTTGACCACAGGTACCTCATCCCAAAGCCTGGTCATGCCTGGGTCCAGCTCCTTGCTGGTCTCAAACACCTCCTGGAGCTCCTCCATCAGCCTCAGTGCCTCCCGGTACATCTTGGGGTTGGATTTCCTCTTCTGCAAAGCAGATGCTGGAAAAGGTGCAAGCAGAGCACTGGTTTCTCTCAATCACAGCTCCCCAACATTTGAATTTCCCTCCTGCTTCCCTGTATGCCAGCAGCCCCAGCCCTCCCATCTTAACAGCAGAGGGGATGGGGACAGGGATGGCAGCAATCTTGAGCAATCTCAGAGTGCAGACAGGTGTCTGTGAGGCTGCAGGGCTGGATTCAAGCCAGGCAGTGGCTTTTGTTAGAGACTGCAGAATGTGTGACTCAATCTCTACTTTTTCCACCACTCTTTCCCCAGCCAGTGCAGGGAAAAGAAAAGCACTGAGGAACAGCCAGGTGGTGGGCTTGTGCTAGCAGCTCAGGATTGTACCACCATAGGGGCTGCGACAGAGATCAAACTTGGCCAGCACTCAGAGCCCCACTGCTTCATCTCAGGGGCAAATAGATGCTTTAAGATTCTCCCCAACAGACAGGTTTGGGGTAGAGTTACTCCGGCTGTGCAGCCAAGAGACTGCAGCAGTGTCTGCTTTGCATTTACTCCTCTGTCAGCCCATAGCTAGAGAACATCAGTGTCCAGTGTTTTTGGCTGAGGGGGTCAGAAACATGGGATGAGGTTGCAGCAATAGGGAGTGCCTCCGTTCCCTGTTACTGGGAGTTAGGGCTGAGCTCAGGAACAGCCTCATCCTGCCTCTATAGTGACATGAAGAGCAGAGATGGGGGGCATGAGAACATACCCAAGGGGACACTGGTGACAGTTGAGGTGTTTCTCATGGCCACCAGGATTCTTTCCAGGACTTCTGCTTTCGTCTTTCTAGCAGGAGGGTCAGGCATCCTGCAACGCTGTGAGGAAGAGAGGAGGCTGCAGCATGCTTTCCTCCTGGGTGATGCTCCTCCACCTCCTTCTCCTGCCCCTCTCCCAGACTAACAATGCTCAAAAACCCTGGAGATGTGGCACTTGGGGACACGGTCAGTGGAGGATGGTGGGGATGGCTTGGGGATCTCTGAGGTCTTTCCAACCAGAATGATTCTATGATTCAAAGCCTGTGCTTCTGCAGGAGGTGGTTGGGAACACTTTCTTTTGGACCAACTGATCCATTTCAAACTCTGACTGAAGACTGTAAGTGTATAAAGCAACACTGAAGAAGCTTTCCAAGACCCCAAAGCTTCATTATGGCTGCAGGGACTGTCATTTTATCACAACCCCTGCTCCTTGCCACCCTTTGCAGCACATGGGTTGGGGTAGATACAACTTCCAGACACCAACACCAGTGCAAGTGTTCTCTCCCTCCAGACCTTGGGCTTGTCACCTTTTTGTGAGGCACATAGGGCTTCTGCACGCTGTCCAGTCGTGGCTTGGCATCCCGGTACACCAGGGGGTGCTTCAGGACATAGTAGAGAGCCTGCACATTCTTCTGTATCCCTGTGAACCAAAGGGAAAACAGGACATCAGCAGCTTTTTGGTGCTTCTTTCTTGGGCAGAGCAGATTACACTGCTCATCAACCTGCCCAGGGTTTTCTAAGCAAGGGCCCCCAGCCCTCTTCACTCACCAACTGGCTCAATAAAATCTGGGTCAGTGTCTCCACCGAGCAGCTCCTCATAGCCCTTGTACCATTCTGGAACAACCCAGGAGCTGCCTTCCTCCCTCTGCTTGCTCCTCTGTTCCAGCCTGTCCTCTGCCATGGGTTGCAGCAAAGGCTTGGAGTCGTCCTCCACCTCAAAGCAGCAAAAGAAAGGACTTGGCAGCAGCACTTGGCCACCAGTCCAGGTGATGAGGTCAGCCAGAGCCTGTCCTGCTGTGAAGAGGTGCCTCCTGGTGGCACTGAGCCATGCAGTCACCACCTTGTCCCTATGTGCTTGGTGGAACCAGGCATGGGGGGGAAGGGGCCAGCCCCATCCCACTGCAAACTTAACAATCCCAAGGAAAATTGAACCCCAAAGTTGCCGTGGTGAACAAGAAGAGAGAGTTTTCCTGCAGGTGCCACAGGGACAATCTGTGCTTTGCTGTTAGCAGTCCCACACTTACATCCCTTGCAGTCAAGGGAGGATTATAAGCACTGGTGCTGTAAATACCTGCACAGCGATGGCCCAGCCTCACGCACCTGTGTCATGAAGAAGGCTTCAACGTCCTCCTGGGCTGTGCTGGGAGTCCTGGGATCACGTTCCCCATGCCCCACTGCTGGCGTGGAGCTGATGGGAGGCAGTGGCTGGGGTGAGATCAGAGGTGCAACTCCTCCTGCAGCTTCTGCCATGGCTGGGAGTGGTTTCCAGACGAAGGTTTCAGCAGGAGCTTCCAGTATCAGTGGCTGCTTCTCGACTTTGGGGAGGTGAGATGAGACCTGAGAGGACACAGCAGTGTTCATGCACGATGCTGTGAGCATCAACGTTGGGTTGGACCCCATGGCTGGAGGCTATTTCTTAGGGGACAGGGATCCCCCAGCTGCAGGGACACTCCACAGCAGCTTCATTTCCCCAGCAATTGGCCCTTTAGCTGATGGGCAGGGCTGGAGCCAAAGTCTCTGTTCTGAATCCCGTGTGGGCATGGAGGAAAGAATTGAGAAGTGAGAACCCTCCCCATCCCTTCCCTTCCTCCATCCTACCAACCCCATGGGGATCCACACAGCCTACGAGCTCTGCCCTTACCCCAGTAATCTGGGTCCCAGGCAATCCTACCCCAAATACTGCAGCCATGGTTCAGTCCCTGCCTTAGGACAAAGCCTGCTGTGCAGCCTGCCCTGCCTCACCTTGCGGCTGGCTTTGAGAGGGATGGAGAAGTGCCACCTCCTCACAGTTGGGCTCTTGTGGTGAACAAGTTGAATCCCCAACTTCTGCTGGAGGAGCCGGGTCAGCAGAGGTGGGTGCCCTGTAAGAAGCAAGGGTGCATGAGGGCTGCAAGCAGCAAAATGTAACCTAAAGCTGCACTACTGCAGTCATGGTTGGGCTGTTGGGTTCCAGTGGGACCAGGAGCAGCAGCAGGGCACTGCAAACAAGGCATTGCTGTTTGCTTTGCACTTTAGCAAGGATTAAAAAGCATCTCCTTGGGGACCTGGGCCAGCAGAGCAGCATCCAAATGCTGAATGAGAAGGGAGTCCCTGTCCCAGAGAGGGAACTGCACCCACTTTGGGAAACCCCAAGGACCAGCTCATACTGTACCACTGCGGGTGGTGGTAAGAGGATTGTTGTGAAATGTCAGCTGCTTCAGACGTGGGAAGAAAGCCACGGGTAAGAGGGCTGTCTCATCCATAATCTGCAAGATAAAACAGTTTGCCATTTCATTTTACTCGGAGCAGCTGCCACTGAGCTGAGGCTGTAGAGTTTCCTCCCAATCCTACTAAAATATGTCCCTCTGATGTAGTGGGCAGGAGCCAAAAGCACCAGGAAGGGGAGGTTAAGTGAATGTGGGGCACACTGAGAGCATCACCTTCCACTGGGCAGCTCCAGCAAAGGCAGGCCTTTATATCCCCCATTTCCTGATGAAATCCCCTCTTCTGGTGAATAGTGATGAATTCTCAGGGTGATAAGGCACCTATCACATAGGTACCCACTTGTGGCAGTGCCCCAAAGCCAAGCTGGATTTTGGGCACCTAGGCTATGATTCTATGATAATGTGCAGGTGTCTAGACAACCTGAGAGCAATTCAGCTGCCTAACAGGTGCCCTGTCCCACCTGAGAGATGCTGGGTATCTGAGATGGACACAGGGGTTGGAGAGAACTCTGCAGCAGAGGCCAGGGTATCTCCAGGGGGACTAACCCCAGCTTCATACAGCTGAATCTCTGCACCTATCCAGAGACACAGGGCCCAAATCACCTTGTTGAAGGCCAGGCTGAGATGTTCCAGTACAGGAAAGAGAGCACAAATGTCTCTGCACGTGGAAAGAGCAGGCAGAGTCTTCAAGGCAGATGGGTCTCCCTCCCAGGGAGCAGCCTAAAGAGAGGAGGAAGAGGGTGAGATGCTCCAGAGGCTCTCGAGGACGTGGCAACATCTCCATGTGCTCAGTGCATGTTGAGATTGGTGCTTCCCCAACTGCTGCCTGCCGTGCTCTAGGAAAGGGGCAAATCAGCACAGACAGCCCATGCATCAGGATACCATCCTTCAGAGCCCAAACACAACTGGAATCTGAATGAACGAACTCCAGGCTCCTGAGCTTCAGTCCCCACCTGAGTTGCAGAGCACACAGGAAGGATATGTTTGAGTGTTTTCATTGGCAAAGTTTAAGCTCAGATCTATCTTGGTAAAGTGAAAACTTGTTCCTGACCTCCCTGATGACAGACAATACTTACTTGCAGCACTCAGTGTAACTTGCCAAACTGATGGGCTTTTATGCAAACTCTGCTGAGAGAGGCAACGGGAAGTTTTGGAACCCACACCCCAAACCACAGCTCAGCCAATGGTTCTTACCAGCATTGGGCATCCCTGAGAGTCAGAATTAAACACGACCTCTGCAACAAAACACAAGCAAAGTGAAGGTTTTGATGTCCAGTACATGAAGCTGAGCACTGGGCTGGCCCCAATCGTGGCAAGGTTGGGATTGCTCTGGAAAAGCAAGTTAGCATCAGGCAGGAACTGTCTCAGTGGCAAAATGTGCTCCAGGTAAGGGGAAATTTGTGTCCATTAAGCACCCAGTAGCACAGGTTAGCTAAGATGTCACAAACAGTGCCATATGTCTTTCCTTCACTGTTTTGTCAAGCAGCTTCACTTGCTAGTAAACACCCCGCAGATCTGGAAAGGTTTCACTCTGATGTAACTGAGCCCTCTCCCACTGTAACATCTTGCAGTATCAGCAAGGGCAGGGAGAGGCGTGTGCTGCTCACCAGTCCTGTCTGGAGCCCCGTTGTTCTGTAACACGATGTCTTCAAGCTGACCTTTCTTCGTTTCCAGCTCTGCTGGCACCTCCTTGCCCTCACGCTGCGACGGCTGGGGCTGCTGCCAGAGGCTGCTCAGACACTGGTACCACTCTGCCCTGAAGCTGCCATCATCCGGCGTAGGGTGGAGGGAGAACTGCATTCTCTCTGCTTGGTGCAGGTAGGGGACTGCTGAAATCCTGTTTCTGTCCAGATTCAGTTCCCTCAGGCTATCGGAAGAGGGAACGTATGGGAAACTCCACTTTTGCTTTCAGTGTTCACACAGCCATCTGTTCATCCTGGCTCTCGAGCTGCCTCCTGGCCGGGCAGCCCAGCAGTACTGCAGAACTGCACTGACACCTTCGTTCTGCTGCCCCATTCCCCCTCCTCCTGACAAATGAAATCCTAACTGTAGGCTCAGTCCAACAGTACCCCTAAAGCCCAACACTTCAGTCCCCCACCCCAGCCCGTGGGTCACCTCGCTGAAGCTCATCTCTTGTTGAGAGTTTAACAGACAAGGAGACATCCTAGCAGCTTATTAAATCACCCACGGCTCTGAAGAGCTGTGGTCCTACTGGGGTCCCCTAACAACATTCCCCCTTTCCACAGAACCATAACATCACCAGTGCCTGGAGTCACAAGAAAACTTAGAAACCCAAATCTCTGCATGCCAGCCCCCAGCCTCATGATGAGCAATGTGATGTTTCCCCCAGGAATATCTTGGCAGAGCTGACAGTGCAAAGTCCCACCTTTGTGTCACCAGGTGCACTGTACCCAAGCCCACCACAGCTCGGCTGAGCTGCCCCTTCCTCTCCTCTCTGGCTGAATCATAAAAGCTGACATTAAAGAAGGGAAGTTGATCTGAAGCCTCTCCTTGCGCTGCTGCACTGATAGAAAGGACAAATTGGAGCAAAGAAGGGAAAAATGGAGAAAGCTGTTTCTCAAATCAGACCCAGAGATCAGCAGACACCCAGGGCAGGGTCTGAGTTCCAGCCATCTGGCTTTGGCCCGCCTGTGTTTTGCAGCAGGCCGTTTTCTATTGTTCAGTCTCATTTGCAACGCTAAAGAGAGTAAACAGGGAAGTATCTGAGTGAATCACAAAGATTTTGTTTTCCATTTTAAGGCTGTTTCTGTGCAGCAGCTGACAGCTGACAGCCCCAAAAGCCAGCACTGTCTGCTGCCAGGTTCCTGCTTACCTGCAGAGATGAGACAGGCTCACAAAGACACCCGGCTCTGACAGACTGTTGTCATCCAGCAGCAAGACCTCTAGAGACTGAAATCTCAAATGAGCAGAGCTGTGAATACAAAGAGCCTCATTAATAACACAGTCAAGCAAAGACAGGTGAAAAACACATCCTCTGCTGTCACTGGGAGACGTGTGTGCTCACTCTGCTGGGAGACAGGGCAGGGGCTGCTGGCATTTTTGAAATAGAAAACTGCTAACCTACCTAAACTCGAATCAGCCTGAAAAGACCATCTAGCTCAGTGCCTTATCTCCAACCATGGCAAAAACAGCGGGGGCCTTGGCATGGTGGCTGTGCTTAAGCTACTGGGAAGGCTCTCATTAACGATGTATAAACAGCAACCTGCTCCTGTGGCTTGGCCAGCAGACGGAGCTGCTGAATCTCTGAGTCCCTCTCTGCCTCCAAGGACAGAAGACGAGCTGGGTGAGCACAGTCCCAGCTCAAAGCATCAGGTCAGCCCCGTGGCCCCAGCATCCCACCCCCTTGTGAAACCCCCAGGCAGCTCAGGAACCAAACCAAAGCTTGTGCACTTACCCCCAGGAGCCCGCCAGGTCTGCAGGCAGAGACCGAAGCCTGTTGGCTGTCAAGCGAAGGACCTTGAGCTGGGACAGATCTCCCAACATCCAAACGTCTTCAGGGGATAAATTATTGTAGGAGAGATCCAGATCCTGAAGGAGACAAAGAACAAGACAGCTGGCTTTACTGAGGGCGATACTGAATGCTTTCCACTGTGTTATAGGGACAGTTTTTTGGAGACATTGCAATGGGTTGCGTTTCCCTGACAGGAGCTCCAAGCTCTTTCCAAACCAATTGAATTTTCCAATCAATCTTTTCAGCGCTGTGCCGTCTTCTCCAGGTCATCAGCAAGCAGGATCTCAGAACACCAGACATCAATAAAGCTGGGATCCATGAAGGTATCTTAAGAAGGGGAGTTTTGATGGAGAATAACACACAGATGGGCCCCATCCCTACCTTTCACAGCTGATGCCAGCAACCAGGCCGCTTGCTCAGGGATGGAGAGGACTGGAAATTTGGTTCTCCAACACCCAGAGCTGTGCCCACAGACTGAGACAAACCCTGAGTGAGTGGCCAAGAGTACATGGGAGACGTGCAGAAGCTCTCCTGTGTTTTCAAGGATTTGGGGACCTCCCAAAGCCTGTAGGAAGGAGGGAGGTCAGGACCACAGCAGCAAGATGAGCCCTGCGGTCAGAGCCAACGGAGCTTGCAGCTGAGCTGCAAACCATTCTGTGAACGAGTCAAGAAAGAAGTCTTTAAGACAAAACTTTCCATCCAGCAGCTATCTGAAATTCTGCATCCAGTAAGAGACAAAAATCCAGGCAGGAAAATCAGTGAAGAGAGCAAGTTCTCTGCAAGAGAGACCCACTAAAAGCTGGACGGGGAGGACAAACTACAGCCAGCATCCCAAGCGTGTTTTTTGCTCTTAGGATCCATTTTCTCTCTTTTTCACACGAACAAACTAACCAACCAACTTACCAATCTGCTGTGTTAGAGAGGCAGCCCATAATTCATAGAAACCGTGGATATCTGGAGATGGGGAGGTAAAGAGAGGCATGGAGGAGGATGGGGATCTGCCAGCCATCCTACAGCACTGTGTGAAGGATGACACTGGTGACTGACAGCTGGCACTGGGGTGACCCCAGAACCTCAGGGTGAGGACCCATGAGGAGTAAAAGCAGGGCAGGAGGTGAGGAGAACAACAGGATCTACTGTGGGGACTCCACGATGGACTGAGTGGAGAGGATCCTACAGCACAGAGAGGTGGTCTGTTATGGGGAAATAAGGAGTCCTGTGGCAAAAAGGGCTGAGCAGTGGCCATCTGTGAGGGACGGCTGTGAAAGAAGCAAAATGTGCAGATCCCTGAGGGACAACAGCAAGGGCATCCCAGATTTAAAGGAAGCAGGAAGAGAGGATCACCCTACAGCTTCAGAGAACTCACACTGAAGGGGCACACATCCATGCTACGTGTAGGGGGGAGATGAAGAAGTCTCAGGTCTCTCTCAACTTACTTCTAAATGCCTGAACTCTCCAGGAGTGATTTTCAGGTTTCTCAGTCCATTCAATGAAAGTTCCAGCTCTCGCAGCTCTGGAAACTTCCGAAATGGTTCTGCAAGAATAAAAGAGGAAACATTTTAGCAGCAAGAGCAAGCCAGGTCCTGTCCAGGTCTGGGATGGACCAAAACCAGCCTGAACAAGCAGGATACTGTAACATTGGAGCATTATCACTTGGCGGGCTAGAAAGAAAATGCCAGCTCCATTAGCCAATTGTCCCTACAACATCTAGCTTGTTTTCTTGCCTTTGTTTCCCACCCAGATTGGATTAGTGCTTGAAGCCACGGACAGCACACCGAGCTTTATGTGTCTTACTGTTAGAAACACATCTTCCATCTTGACTGAGCTCGTGTCACTGGATTTGGATTCACCTCTCAACTCTACCACTACACTTCTGAGCTGTCGGGTCATTTCTTCACTCAGTGTTTCAATGTATTAAGTGGGGATTTTCTTTGCAAAGAGCTTTGCTTTCCAATAACAAAACAGACACCACAGCAGCACACAATGATCATCCCTACAGATGATAACGTCAGCAGGGTGTTGGTGCAAGGATTTCAGCTGATTTTAGACAAGCATCAGCCAATCTAGCTTGAAAAGCAGTTTTGTTTGGCAGTGCAATCCCTTACCTAAAGTCAGCAGGTTCTCAGCAGCGTTTATAAAAGCAACACAATCAAATTTCTCAAAATCATCTTCTTTAGCCTGAAAGATACATTCAAACATACACAGATGGAGCTCTGGCTGTACACGGATCTGAAACAGCTGAGTCTTTCTGTTTCTCACAATGCCTAAATCACAGCACTTCATTACATCTCCCATTGGTTGTCTGATGATGGAGAGAGCATAGGAGGGAAGCACAGCTGATTTGGTGGCTGGCATCCAGAAGACCTGGACTACCTGAGCTCCAAAGCAAAACCCCCTCTGTGCTCTCACTGCTGCCCACATGTGGCCCATCAAACTCAGCCACTCTCCAGCACATCTGTCCTTCACAGCAACAGCCCAGAACCCTACAAAACACACCACGAAGCTACCAGCACCCTCAGATCCTTTTGTCTTTGTCCCCAGCCCAAATACAAGTTGCTGCTGAAGTCAAACTACCGTAGCTGAGAGAAACATCCACAGAACCAGAGTGAAGTGAGTGTAAATGGGGAACTACACCTGGTGATGACCATCACCATTTGATTATGAAGACATGAGCCAAAGTTTCACAAGGCAAATCATTCAGGCCTGTTTACAGCTGGCTGGCTCACCCTCCTGTGCAGGAAATATCCTAGAATCAAAGGAAAACCCTGCAGTGGAAGGGCCCTGCAAGGATCACTGAGTATAAATGTGCATGCTGCTAACATGCTTTTTCTGAACTCTGCACACTTATGTGCTGGTATGGTTGGGTTGGTTTCTTTTTCAATTTTTAAGGCAGTCTGTTAACATTTATGGAGCCTCCAGTACTCACAGAGACCAGATTTTGGCCGCTTATGTTCACAGAGCACAAGTCAGAAGGGTTCTTCAAACAGTGGTGCTTCATCTGGAGGGAAAAAACCAAAACCAAACACAAAGGTGAAGCCCTGCAAAATGTCCACGAGCAATCTTTTCTCATCCTGGAACCTGGACTCCAAAAGCAGACCTGAAATTGTTTCCTCCCTCACCGAGTGATTCCCTCACGTTGTGCTTCGGGTCACAGCAAGAGGGGAGAAAACATCAGGGGGATGGGGAAGGGAGAGGCACTCACCAGAAATGGCTCATCCAGGATATGGTTTTCATCGTTTCCTTGTGCAGAAACAGCACTTGGAGGCTTCCTCCTCTCCTCTGGTGGCTCCTTGGTGGTTCCTTGCTCAGCCCAGGGCTGTGGGGTGGCTGTGGGTGCCAGCAGACGGCGCCCAGCCCCTGGGACAACAACACAACAAAGCAGAGGAGGTGGCAAGGTGAGTTTGCAATGCTCTCACTGTGCTTTTCTCAAAGGGGCTCAACTCCACCTGATGGTTCAACCCAGCAACGAAACCCATCATTTTAAATTTAACTTTTTTTTTTTAATGAATAATTGAATCACAGGATCTCTAAGGATGGGAAAGACCTCTAAGACCACCAAGTCCAACCCCACCAGTCCCCACTGACCAACGTCCCTCAGTGCCACATCCCCATGATTCTGGAACACCCCCAGAGGCTCCTCCACTCCCTGGGCAGCTGTGCCACTGCCTGACCTTGCAGAGAAGATTTTTTTCCTAATACTTAATATGAACACTAGAATATAAGCTGAATTGGTAACCATATACTTAAGACAGCAACATAAAGCTGTAGCCACAGCAAAGCAAGTCCAATCTCCCTCCCAGAACAAGACTATCAGCAACACTAGATCTGCCAGTGGTTGCTTTGTCCAGCAATTTCATCACCTCCCAAGGCAATTCTAGCTGCAAACATCCCTGCTCACTGCAGAGGAGTGGGACCAGATGGATTTCAAAGGTCCCTTCCAACTCAAACGATTCTGTGATTCTAACTCAGCATGCACCTCCTCCAGAAGTTACCAGTTGCAAATTTTGACCTCCTTATGCTGCCTGCCACTATTAAGAAGAGTCTGGTTTCATTCATTCCAGCTTTCTTTGCAGCTGTAAGCACCAAGCTGTTCTCATACTCCTCCTAGCAAGATAAAACAAGCCCAGTGCTCTCAGCTTCTCCTCCAAGATCACGTGCCCCAGCCCCCTGACCAGCCTGGTACACCTCTCCCCTATTTCCCAACCATCAGAAGATATTTCTGCCATTCCTAAGCACTTCACAGATGTTCCTCTCAAACACAAAGAATCTCTAGCTCAGAACAGCTGATGGAGAGCTGCACGGTGCTATCCACGTGCCCGTCATGCTGAGACATGTACTGGAGCACATATTTAACACACATCCATTTCAATTCAGTTTTAATCGATTTTAAGACTTTTTAGGCACAGCTTTAAGTTCTCTGGGTTATCCACTATGAAGTTGATACAGAAAACCAGTGCTGAATGTTCTCTCTAACTGGCCCACAACCCCATGGAAGGCAGATCTGCCCACGTGGACACAACACGAGCTACAGGATGACTTTGCAGCTCCCCAAGAAGTGTTACCTCTCCTGTTGCACAAAATGTTCCTGGCAGGAAAGCAGTTAGCCACATAATTGCTCCCATCAGCCATTTTGTAGAGTCCTGCTGTAGCCATCTTGACTGCAGCACACCTGGAAAGAGTGGGAAACAAATACGTGGGTTAGTTTTTTCACTGCTTCTAGTATGACCTTGCTTTAAGCAGCTAAGTGGAAGGGTAGTCATGAATCAGCTTGTACACTAAGGAGCACTGTTAGTGACACACGAAGAGCATCACTGCTCTTAAAATAGAGGAGTAAATGAGGCAGTACATGGATGTACATGATTTTCCACTTCATGACAGCAAGATGCTGTGTGTGAGTCACAGAATGACAGAATTGTAGGGGTTGGAAGGGACCTCCAGAGCTCATGGAGTCCAACCCCCTGCCAAAGCAGGTTCCCTACAGCAGGTCGCACAGGTCGGCATCCAGGCAGGTCTTGAACATCTCCAGAGCAGGAGACTCCACCACCTCCCTGGCAGCCTGTTTCAGTGCTCCTCACCTCACTGCACAGCCGTTCCTTCACACATTGCTGCACAACTTCCTATGCTGCAGTTTCTGTCCGTTTCCCCTTGTCCTGTCTCCACTCCCCCCTGAACAGAGTCCATCCTCACCATTCTGCCCCCCACACCTCAGATGCTGATAGACCTGGATCAGGTCCCCTCTCAGCCTTCTTTTCTCCAGGCTGAACAGACCCAGCTCACTCAGCCTTTCCTCATAGCAGAGATGCTCCAGGCCCCTCGCCATCTTGGTGGCCCTCTGCTGGACTCTTCCCAAGAGATCCCTGTCTGTTTTGTGCTGGGGAGCCCAGAACTGGACGCAGTGCTCCAGATGAGGCCTCACCAGGGCAGAGCAGAGGGGGAGGATCACCTCCCTCGACCTGCTGGCCACGCTCTTTTTAATGCACCCCAGGATGCCATTGGCCCTCTTGGCCACAAGGGCACACTGCTGGCTCATGGCAACCTGTCGCCCCCCAGGTCCCTCTCCGCAGAGCTCCTCTCCAGCAGCTCATCCCCCAACCTGTACCGGTGCATGCCATTATTCCTCCCCAAATGCAAGACTCTACACTTGCTTTTGTTAAATCCCATCCGTTTTTTTTCTGCCCAGCTCTCCAGCCTGTCCAGGTCTTGCTGAATGGCAGCACGGCCTGCAGCCAATCCTCCCAACTTCGTATCACCACAAACTTGCTGAGGGTGGCCACTATCCCCTCATCAAGGTCATTGCTGAAGATGTTGAACAAGGACCCAGCACCGAACCCTGAGGAACACCACTGCTTACAGGCCTCCAACCAGACTCTGCACCACCAACGACAACCCTCTGCGCTCTGCCAGTCGGCCAGTTTTTAACCCACCTCACTGTGGGGGTCAGGCTGTGTGGACAATGGTTTGTGGGATTTTTGCTTCATCCATCAGAAACACAGAACTGTTAAGGCTGGAAAAGATCACTACGATCATCAATTCCAACCATCAACCCATCGCTATCATGCCTACCTTCCTTCCTCCTGCCCCTTTCTACTGTGATCTGAGAAGGCTCTGGGATACAGATCTCACACCTTCTCAACCCCACAACTTTGGAGGTGCTCTGTCAGCAGTTAACACTTTTATCCTGGAGGCCCTTAAGGAATGCCTTCATTGAGATGGAGATGCTGTGGATTTTGTCACTGTGTGTGCACAAGGTCCTTTCAACCCCTGTGTCCATGCACAGGCAGCAGCCTCCCATCTTGTAGCATGAAGAGGTGACAATCTCCAGGTGTCACCATAATGGTATCTCCACACCTTCTCTGACACCCCACAGCACAGCTTAACTACAGTGTTCACATATGGTGATGGCACCTGGGACAACAGTCACCTGCTGTGTTATGGGCAGTGAAATGTTGGCACTGGGAGGCACACACTGACACACAGGTGGATCCTACATCCATCTACACAACCCCTCCAGCTGCACTCCACACACGTACCCCATTCGTTAAGGTTGGAAAGGCCACTAAGATCATCCAGCTCAATCATCTCCTTATGCTTCTGACCACTGTAGACCACGTGCCATATCTCCACGGTTCTGGAACACCTCCATGAGAGGCAGTGACTCCACCACATCCCTGTGCCATCTCTTTCTGAGAAGAAATGTTTCCTAGCATCCAACCTAAACCTTGAGGCAACTTGAGTCCACCACCTCTTTGTCCTATTGCTGTCGACTGGGAGCAGATGCCGACCCCTCCTCACCACAGTCTCCCTTCAGGAGTTGGAAGGAGCTCAGGTCACCCCTGAGCCTCCTCCAGACTGAACCTCCCCTCTGGGCCCAGCAGCCCCCTCTCCCTCAGCAGAGTACCTCCAGGCCTCACCCCCGCACACACCCAACACGCACAGCCCTGAGCAATCTCTCCCAAAGCCTCCTGCTCTCCACGCTCGTCAGAGCAGCTCCAGGCCTCACCCCGTGTCCCTGTGCCCCCCGCCCCATCCTCCTGCGCGCTCTCCCCGCGGCCTCCTCGCCATCTTCCCCTCAGCGCCGCGCCGTCTCCATGGCAACCATAGAGGCACGGAGCGGGACTACAACTCCCAGCACGCTCCGCGCTTCCCGCCGCCGCCCGCGCGCAGCCAATCAGCGGCCGCCACATCGCGCGGGAAGGGCGGTGCGGAGGGCGGCGAGAAGATGGCGGCCAAAGGCGGCAGGAATGGGCTGCTCGATAAGGTGCGGGGCTGCCGCCCGGCTTTGACCTCTATTTCTTTTTCACTTTCGCCTCAGCGCTGCCCTTAGGGCTGTCTTCGGATTCACCCCGGCCTTCCAAAGCGCTGTGAGGGGAGGGAGAGCGGGAGGCGGCGGGCGGACAGTGTGCTGAGGGCTTTGTGAGGGGCTGAAGAGTCTGTGGGAGAGCCGGAGTGAGAGCTGGGAGAGTTCGTCCTGGGGATGGGAGGGCTCTGAGGAGGCCTGGATTTGATGTTCCTGTGTCTGCGGGGAGCTCTGGGAAAGGTGGGCAGGGGGCTCGGTTGGGGGGTTTTGATCGGGTGGGACGGGAGGTGACGGCCTCAGGTGGCTCTGGGGTGGGTCAGGTTGGGTGACAGGAAAGCTTTTATCTGAAGGAGTGGTGAAGCACCGACGCAGCTGCCCAGGGAGTGGGGTTGTCACCGTCCCTGGGGGTGTCTCAGAGCTGTGGGGATGTGATACTGAGGGATGTGGAGGTGGATTGGGGATCTGAGAAGTCTTTCCCAACCTTCACGGTTTTATGAAAGCTATGGAGCCAGGCTGAGAGCTGGGAGTGTTCAGCCTGTGGAAAAGAAGGCTCTGCAGAGAGCTTACAGCACCTAAGGGGCTGCGGGAGAGCTGGGGTGGGCTCTTTGTCAGCTACGTGGTGTTAAGCTCGAAGAAGCTGGATTTAGATTAGATGAGGAAGAAATTGTTCACCACCAGAGTGGGGAGGCTCCAGCACAGCAGTCCCGAGCTGTGGGTGCCCAACTCTGGCAGTGCCCAAGGTGGTGGATGATGCTGTGGGCATTGGGCTGTGGGAAGCTTCCCTGCCCATGGAAGGATTGAAACTGGCTGAGCTCTAAGATCCTTTCCAACCCAAATGTTCTGTGATTTATATTTTTTAACCTTCCTCATGTATCAGCTTTGATCTCAGCTCAGTTCCAAGCAGACAGGTGTTTGTGTCGCAGCCCATCCTTGTGTTTGATGAGTGCTGATGCTCCTCTGTCACAAAAACGAAAGGCCTGGAGGCGTTTTGTTCACAAGACGATAGAAACTGATGCCTCCATCTCAAGGGAAGGAGGGTGTACCTTCAGAGTGCTGTGCTTCCTTCAGCAAACTTCAAAGCAGTTGAGAACAGTTTGATTCTTTTTCTGTTGATGTCTGTGTATTTGCAAGCACAGTTCTTGTGTATTTGTTTTGAGATGAAGCTCCTCATGCTGTGTGTGAGATTGGGTGTGAAATCTTCAACGCAGCATCAGTCACTGAGTGAATTCTGTTAGTGGAAGATGCTAATGAAGTACTTTTGGCAATCTTTGTGTGCAGCCTTCAGCTCCTGTTTGAGAGCGCTTTGTGGTTACACTTAAAGAGCTCTAAGAAATACCACACTCTCAAGGTGTTCTGTGTCTTCTGCTGTGTCCTCTGTGTGTGGAGCTGTGGTTGTTTAGAAGGAAATGAAGCAGTTGCTAAGGGAAGTACATCGTAGTGCAGGAGGAGTTTCAACAGAGCTGTACAAAGCACACACAAGACAGTTTTCTTTCCTCCCTCTCCTTTGTGCTGATCCATGTGTTTTTGTTTCCTGCTTCCTGATGACTTAAATCTGGTAATATCAGTATTGCAGAGGTGTTATCTGGTAAATCATGCTCTTAGTCCCTAAATTGCTCAAGTTTTTCTCAAGCAAGACAGCAGTGGCATGGGACTGAGGCTTTGTACTCCCATAAAAGGGCTGCTCGCTTCACGTTTGTGTTTGTACTTCACCAGTGAGCTGAATCAGAGTGAGTTCAGGGAGCCTGGGGTGTTGACTATCCCATTTTTTTGTTGTCTTTCTCATATTCTTTCAGCATTGATGACAACCAGGCAGTTCCTCCTGACCCTGGGCAGCCTGGTCTGGTGGTTGGTGACCCTGCACACAGCAGGGGGATGAAACTGGATGATTATTGTGGTCCTCTTCAACCCAGGCCATTCTGTGATTCATTCTTTGATTCATTCTATGACCCATAGAACCAGGGCTGTGTGCCTTGCAATGTGCATATTCTGCTGGGGCTCATCCTAGCTCTCTGGGCTGCATCTCAGTGTCCTGATTTAAAGATCCTACACCAGCATTCATATAATCACAGTAGAAACAAGTCTTTCTTTGTGACTTATGTTTTCAGTACTCACAGCATGCCTTAAACTTCAGAGCAGTATTTGGAGAGACAGGCTGCTCTTGGGTGCAACGTAAACCAAGCTGACAGCAGAACAGGAGGAATAAGGCAGGGGGAAAATGAAGTCTGTGCTGCTCTTTGAGATGTGAGTGGCTTGACACCTCCCATAGGATTTTTCTGTGCCTGTTGCCAGGGAGGGAGCTTGCAGCTGTAGGTGAAGGTGACTTCAGGCATGGCGAGGGATGGAGTGCTTGGAGCTGGGGGTGGCTGGGGTAAGAGAAAGCCTGTGTGTTGCTGCTCCTTTTTTTGGAGCTAAGAGCAGAATGCTGCCCTGCAGTCATGTAGATGTGTTGCTCAGGTATTTCAGCCAGGTCCTTGTGTGCTTCCTGTGCTTTTAGGACTCTCCCACACGTTGAAGCCTCGTTCTTACACACGAGTAAAGCAAGGGCGTGCTTTCAAGTACTAAACCACCTCTGAGGTGTGCCTGACTGCAGTAACCTGGTTGTTATCCCCTGGTGTGGGGAGGAGGAGGCACGCTTCTGTCACTTGGTTTTGGAAGAAAGGAGTTGAGTTGCAGCTGAACTGAAAATGATCTCGAAATGGCTGCGGGTTTCTGTGAGTTCCCCTTCCTGGCTCCCACAGGTCAGAATTGAAAGGGGAGCTGCAGTGCAGTGCTGGGAGGAGGAATCTCAAAGGGGCAGAGGTGAAGGGGAGGCTGAAACTCCTCCCTGCCTGAGTCCCACAGTGCAGATATGTCCCCATTGCAAGGTCCTCTCTGGCCTGACCCACCGTGGGGGGGTTCAGGATGGAGAGCAGGAATCCAGAAGGTGATTCTCGTGCTGCCTGGGTAAGGCAGGCTGTACATCTGTTCCCCTAGGCAGATTCCTTCAGTGAGGGACACGTCTGCAGTCCGGTGCCTCTGGGGACAGTGACCACAGAGTAGCTTTAAAATCCTGAGGCTTTCAGTGATAAGCCTGAGGGCTTTGGTTTCATTTCTTCTTTTGATTCCTGAGTCTTTTCTCACTGCTGTTTTCCAACTATTCCAAGCCTATCTAGGAAGCTGTTGGTTTTAGGACGTAAGCAGCTGGACTAAAAACTTGAGTTTTGGCAGTGAGATGGATGCGCTGTGCTTCAGTGCCAGGCGAACCACGCTGCTGCCACGAGCAGGGACTCCCAGCTGTGACAAACAGCCCTGAGGTAAGAGCAGATTAGGTGACAGCCAAAAGGGATGTGTGGCACTGATCACACCTGGGATCCCATCAGAGCTGGAAAGCTCTGGGTGGTAGCACTGCCTGCTGTGCATCTCCCCAGCTGGGCCTCGAGTCTCAGAGCATCTTTTCCCAGTGAGAAATTGTAGATGTGTGTAAAGGAATAAACACAGCTCCTTCTTTGTTCCCTCTGCAGCACGTTGACCAGAGGACTGCTCCACCTGCAGCAGGGAGCATTGCTGTGTCAGGTGTTTTATCATAGAATCATAGCATGGCCTGGATTGCAGAGGAGCTCAATGCTCATCCAGCTCCAAGCCCTGCTGTGTGCAGGTCGCCAAGCAGCAGCCCAGGCTGCCCAGAGCCACATCCAGCCTGGCCTTGAATGCCTGCAGGGATGGGGCATCCACAGCCTCCTTGGGCAACCTGTGCCAGTGCCTCACCGCCCTCTGGCTCAAAAACTTCCTCATCATCTCCAACCTAAACCTCCCCTGTCTCACTTTAAATCCATCCCCCCTTAAAAAATAGGGAATTCTTTCCCATTCTCTACTGCTGATAGTGTTGTTTGTGGGAATCCGAAGGGCTGGGAGTAAAACTGCTGTGGGTGCTTTTATAAAGAAACATCAATAATTGAAAGAATTGTTCATTCCATTTCTTTCACATCTGCTTCTTGCTCCTGATTCATACCTGTGGATCCTGAAAGGTAATCACAACTTCACCAATGTGTCTGTGGGAGGGAGCAGGTCGGGTTTTACATCCTCCTTCCAGAGAAGGAAAGGAGATTTTCTGACAGCTGTGTTGTAAATGCAATTTGGGGGCTCTGGGACTGGGATGTAACAGAGAGCAGTCACTCAAATTGCTCAGATGACTTTGACACGACGTGCTGCTTTGAAAGGGCTCAGGTAGCCAAGAACTGCCACCACAGACACTGTCATTCAAAGGGAAGTTCATGCCTGTAAGCTGTGCTATCTGGGATTCATTGCTGTGAAGGATCTCCTTCTGCAGGTGCGTCTGAGGGAGATCTGAGCACAGAAGAGCTGTGGAGTCGCTTGGTTTGTAGCAGGGATGGACTGCCTGGCACTTCTTTGCCATGCCTTCTGTGGGTCTCTTACGACCCCGTTGGTAAAGGTGTTTTGAGTTCTTCCTCCTGTTATATCAGCCCCCAGAGGATCTGTGTGTAACTTTCTTCCCACAAACCATCAGAACACCCTCAGAGGCCACAAGCAGGGCCATGCTGCAGCTATCAGGACCAAAAACAGAAGAAAACCAATGTAAAAAGTTGTTTTCTCAGTTTTTTTTCCCCTCTGCTGGTGGCAGAGTTGAAATCTGCAGAGCCTTTCTTTGGCAGTGGAGCTTTAGTGCCAGAGTGGCTGCGGTGCAACACAGCTCCCTCTCGCACAGCTCTGTAGGTATTGGGGTTTCTCTCCTAACCTTTGTGTTCCTGACAGCGGCAAGTGTGGTAAAAGGAACTGTTACCCCATCCCAAATCTCTCACGTTTTGCTCTCCGTTGCAGTGGAAGATTGATGACAAACCGGTGAAGATTGACAAATGGGACGGCTCAGCTGTGAAAAATTCTCTGGATGACTCTGCCAAAAAGGTGTGTGGTGACAGTGCTGCTTCAGCAGCTCTCTGAGCTCTTGAGAAGGATGATGTGGGGGTCCTGGTGAATGAAAAACTGAACATGAGCCAGCAGTGCTCCTGCAGCTGGGAAAGCAAATGGGATCCTGGGCTCCATCAGCAGAGGGGCGGCCAGCAGGGACAGGGAGGTGATTGTCCCTCTCTGCTCTGCTCTTGTCAGGCCCCATCTGCAGCACTGCGTCCAGGGCTGGAGCCCCCAGGACAAGAAAGACAGGGAGCTGTTGGAGAGGGTCCAGAGGAGCCACAAAGATGAGCAGAGGGCTGCAGCAGCTCCCTACAAAGACAGGCTGAGGGAGCTGGGCTTGTTGAGCATGGAGAAGAGAAGCTGCGGGGTGACCTCATTGCAGCCTGCAGTGCCTCAAGGGAGCCTGCAGACAGGAGGGGAGTCAGCTCTGTGAAAGGGGAGATGGCAGCAGGACAAGGGGAAATGGTTTGGAGTTGAGGGAGGGCAGCTGGAGGTTGGATGTCAGGGGGAAGTTGTTTAGAGAGAGAGTGGTGAGGTGCTGGAACAGCTGCCCAGAGAGGCTGTGATGCCCCGTCCATCCCTGGAGGTGTTCAAGGCCAGGTTGGATGGGGCCCTGGGCAGCCTGGGCTGCTGTGAGATGGGGAGGTTGGTGGCCCTGCATTGGTGGGGGGTTGGAGCTTCGTGATCCTTGAGCTCCCTTCCATCCCAAGCCATTCTGTGGTTCTTTGAAAGCACAAAGTGAACCCATCTCTGCGTTCCTCCCGCAGGTCCTCCTGGAGAAGTACAAATATGTGGAAAACTTCCGCCTGATCGACGGGCGCCTCATCATCTGCACCATCTCGTGTCTCTTCGCCATCGTCGCTTTGATCTGGGATTACCTGCACCCCTTCCCTGAATCCAAACCTGTCCTCGCCTTCTGTGTCGTCTCATATCCTTTACATGCACTCTCTTTTTAAAACCACGGGGGTTTGGTTTTCCCAGAAAGCACAACAAAGCCCTTCTGTGTCTTCCCATGTCGGCCCTGTGGGAATTTCTCTGCCTGGAGATCAGCTGAGATCCAGCTCTGCTTCGTGTGACGCAGTGCTCTGGTTGTCATGTGCTTACATGTGAGTCTATGTGTGAGGATCCAGGCCCCCCCTGGGCGCTCTGGTTGACTTTTCTAAGAGCCAACTCGTGTTGAAGAGTGAACTCTGCAATACCAGCACCTGCTTGGAGTGCTGTTCCTAACAGGGTGGCAGTGGGCTCTGTGTGTGGGCTGCCGGGTTGGTTCGACAACGCAAACGGGCACCCGAATTTCCTTAACTTGGTCGAACGTATTTTGTGATGATGGGAATCCTGACCATCTATACCTCCTACAAAGAGAAGAGCATCTTCCTGGTGGCTCACAGGAAGGACCCGGCTGGGATGGACCCTGATGACGTGTGGCAGCTCTCCTCCAGCCTCAAACGGTACCGTGAGCTCTGCCTGCGTTTATCACAGGGCAGGAAAGCTTTGGCCAAATGCCACCAAAACGAGGCAAAAGTGTGGTGTTTTTTGTGCTTGATCCCACGTGATTCTGTAGGATCCAAAGAGTTGTCTCTTATTTTTGCACTCTTCAATCCGTTTCACAGTAAGTAAGAAATGAGGGACGGCACCAAGCTGTTCTTTGCCTCAAATCTTCACATCTCACTTCTTAGTCAATGGGGAAGGAAAACCCAATCCCTTAACATGAACAGGTTGCCCAAGGAGGCTGTGGATGCCCCATCCCTGCAGGCATTCAAGGCCAGGCTGGATGTGGCTCTGGGCAGCCTGGGCTGCTGCTTGGCGACCTGCACACAGCAGGGCTTGGAACTGGATGAGCATTGAGCTCCTCTGCAACCCAGGCCATTCTATGGAATTACACTCTGAAATCTGTGTTTTTTTCCCCCCAGGTTTGATGACAAATACACCCTGAAGCTGACCTTCATCAGTGGGAAAACCAAACAGCAGAGAGAAGCTGAGTTCACCAGGTCCATCGCCAAGTTCTTCGATGCCAACGGGATGCTGGTGATGGAGGCCTACGAGCCCGAGGTCTCCAAGCTGCACGACAGCCTGGCGCTGGAGAGGAAAATCAAGTGAGCCGACCTCCGTGGAGCTCAACGCAAATAAAGGAAAGCAGTGCGAGAAAGCGAATCGCTTCTAATTTTGTTCTTCTGGTTGGTTTGTTTTTTTGTCCTGAAATCCTTTTCCCCTTTTTGAATCGATGGGGATCGGAAGTCGTGCTGAGCTGCGCCCACCCGCTGCTGGGTGGGTTTAGGGGGGATGATGAAGAGGGCATTGCTCTGTGCCACGCGTCCCTATGGGAGGAATTCAGGACAGAAAGCCTCGTTGAAACCAACTGTCTGTTGTTTGCAACCCGAGTTCTCTTTATTTTTATATTTAATTGCTCTGGGGGATTGTTTTTATATCAAACCTTTTAGGGCCGTGGGAAGGAGCGGCGTTCTGCGCTTGTCTCACGGCTGTGCGTCCGGCTGCTTTTTTCTTCTCGCCGCGTACGATGAAACCCTGCTGGAAAAACGGCATTTTTTTAAAGCGCTTTTATGTTTTTCGTTTTCAATAAAAGGAACGAAGCGATGTGAGCGATAAACCCGGCGCAGCTTTAGGGGCGGTCCGTGAGTCGGGAGGGGGGGG